GTGATGTGGTGCTTTCCTCCGCGGTAGCATTATTACTAATAACCAAATTATAAAATTAAGTAAATATAGTTCAACTACAAAACAAATGCGTGTATTAATTATATGATATTCATAAACAATATTGTTACAAAAATTACCCTCGACTTTGCATGTGGATCGGGGCAAGAGGATGTATCTGTCGGGCTGAGCGTGGTACTTCTCTGCGGCGGCCGAAGAAAGCTAAATAATCAAACCAGAAAAGGGGGAAACAAAAAAAAAGACATCATCAATTTCGAATTATTTTATGTCTTTTCTTAATATATCCAACTGAAACCAAAAAAAAACCAACGAGAGTTTACCCTATAGGCGATGTGGTCATCGGTTTTGTTGGTTAACATGATGTAACACAGGCTGAACCTTTTTGATTCGACTGATTAATTTTTGGGGGGCAAAAACAAAACAAAACAATGAAATTAGATGAATTAATTATGAGCCAATACAATTAAGAAGAGATCAGCTACTTACACGGGAATCTGAGTTCGGGCGGGTCCACTTGAATCAGCTTGCCGGTTGCCACGGAAGAGAGAGGGGGAGAGATGATGCAGGTTTCCATGGAAGAGAGAGGATGATGATGATGATGAGCCTACAGTTTTTTGTTTTTTTTTTCAAAACCCTAAATTAACTATTTTAAACCCTAACAGTACCGTTTAATTTATAGCCTTAATTTAGTTCAACAACCGACTTACATGGCATAGGGTAATTTAGAACTAACATGGATATATAATTCTTTACTAACTCTAATTCCTTACGAAAACAAAAACAAATCAAGACGGTTGTTTAAATTATGAGCCAATATATAATTCTTTACTCTTGTTTAAATTTGTTATCTCCAAAATGTCCCTATTTCCCAAGATCTAGACTTTTGCTAATTATTCCTCACATTTGATAACTGCTTTTTTTTCCTTATTTTTTTGGCTAGTGGAAAAATCCAAAAAAAAATACAAGATAACCCTTCAAATTACAAGATAAACTCCAAGAACCACAATTCCTCTAGAGTCTTATCCTCTCGTATGGTTTGTTTTCAAACAATCAAGAGCAACCATCCCCTTGGTTGGAGTTATGTTCTTTACCAAAACAGGATTCATCAATATTAATCAACCCGAGTGAATAATTTTTTGCATCATGCATCAACTGAGATCCTTTCCTTCTACAAAGATTCAAGCTTTCACGAGGCAATGCCAATACCCTCCGATGGATTCATCATATACTCAATGAAGACCTAGGGCAATCCCCAAGGCGCACGGTCAAGAACCTACCAAATAAATAATAAGGAGAAGTCAATCCCTTCTCCTTATGATGCATGTTTAGAAATCTAAAATAAACAGTCTTTCCATGAGTGGAAAATTTGTTAGTTTACTTTATCCTGGTGTTCGTTTGATGCATGTTTAGAAATCTAAAATAAACAGTCTTTCCATGAGTTTCTAGTTTATGTTTGATGCTTCACGGAATTCTTGTGACTTTGTAGTTTATCTCAATGTTAGATCTGTGAGATTCGTTAATAAGGCTGTTTTGCTTTTCATTTCAAAGTTTCTTGGTGACAGTTTACTAACGTCGGTAGGACATAAAGCTATCAATTATTCAACCAAACACAACGTATAAGTGAAGCAATCTAATACTATATATTCGGGAAGAGACTTATCGGCGAGGTATGAACATGCTGGCTGCTGAGTCATGACGATCGTCAGAACTGTGGTCTTGATGGGACCAAATAATGTTACAGTGTTGGTTAGAGCGCTTATGGTTATCCCGAAGGAAGCTCAATTTGATCCTATCTTCTTTGCAGAGAAATTAATGTTAGCTTTTGAGTTGTCATGGTGGTTCGTCGACTAGATAGTCGGGTGAACTTCTGGTCGAATAAACAGCTGGAAGATTTGTCGAGCGGATTTTTGAGGAGCCGTCTTTATTATGAAATAGCCAATTAGTTCCATGTTTTGCGTCTATATGGACGAATTGTTGCTTAGCCGAATCCTCAAAATCGTCCTGGGTTGGGCTTTGTGCCACTAGTCTGGTTAGGGCCACTCCTTTTATCTTGGATGATATCATTTTGTTGACACCTGTGAGTCGAACGGTGAATTACCGTAACGAATGTGTAAACCGACATATATGAACCAAAGAAATCATAGCAACCGCGTGTGTACACACACATACATACATACGAGAAAAGGAAATATTTGTATTATTCTTCAAGTATGCCACTATATAGAGTTTAACAAAACAACCCAAAAGTACTAATTGTATGGTTATACTTTAGGATTGATGGCTAGCTTAACCTTTAACTCTGTATACAATCCGCTGTTTGTTAGGGTAATGTAGGGGGGGGGGGGGNTACATCACTTCCATGCATGTTAATTGGTCTTCTCGACGAGTAAAGATCCTAGATCGGCAAGGTTTACCAACAAGCCCAGCTCGAGTCTCAATCCTAGATCGTACAATTCGCAATTCTAAACATCCTCAAGGCTTCATCGAATCTTCTAGGCTCGTGGGGATTATATATTATCCTTGAGAGCATCCCAAACTCAAAGTGATTGGGTTTGATGGCGTCAGCGGCGGTGAGGAGGATTTCCAAGAAAATAATTAAGCTAGATACCTAGCTAAAAATGTGATCAATATTCCACTTGTCATTACTTATTTCGATGGAGAAATTGACATAACGGTAACATACCTTCCTTTTATAAAAGCTCTTTATGGCTTGAATTAATGGACGAGTGAACGAGTCCATGAGCATCATATCACAGCTTGATCCTCTCATGTATCATTCATTCACCATAAAAGCATGCTACCGTGTGAGTCCTAGTTTTATATTTAGAACAAAATAAATTTCATAATTGAAGATTCGATGATAATATACGCATATATCTGCAAATCATTGACAATTGCCTATTTATATTTAGAACAAAATAAATTTCATAATTGAGTCAATTGTTCATGATTTGCGCTTAGTTCTAGTTTTCGGTCGGGGCGAGCTAGTGAAAGCCCTTTGGGCCGGGCCTCGGAAACCCATTGACATTCATATTCGCAAATAATATACGCATATATCTACAGAACTATCCCAACATAGTGCGCACTTGCAAAAGCCATCCCAAAATCTCAATATTATAAACTCAGGCTAATTAACCAATTTTGGAAAAAGAAGTTTTCCATCGAAGCTTTGTTGGATATGGTGAGTAAATATTTGACCATGCCGTTGATGTTTTTACATTACTTTTACGGAGTAACATATCAAAGCTAATTGTTTTTTCCCCCATTGAACTGATGATCATAATTAAATGACAACTCTAAAAATGAATGTTGAGGCATGCACGGGGGCAATTCTTTGATGATGTTATACATGAAAACATTCAATAGAGGAGATTCAATAGAGGAGCTCCAACTGACAGAAAAAGGATGTGTATTATTACACCCAAAACAACTACTAGCATCCCTGGCTACAGCAAGTACACACTTTATTCATGAAAGCTAGCTTGCTATTAATAATAGTTTCGCCAGCTAGAATTTTTAGGGCATTATATTTGTCAAGTTAGCGCTATTTTTTGAAACTTTAGGAAACCCAAATTTCGAAAAAAAAAAACTTTAGGTTATCAAAGTTAAAAATGCGCGTAATATTGGAATGCGCGCTAAAGTGCAATACAAACAAAAATATGGTTAACTGGTTTATAAACCTTCATTCTAAAAAATTCCAATCTTAAGACAAATGTAAATATTCTTATGCAAAATCATGGTATGTACCAATAAAATAATCCCAAATGGGTTCAAGTGCGTTCATCAAAATTAAATCTCGTCGCATGAAAATATACAAATCATATCATATCATTCTGTATTAGTTGGATGTAGTAATCTTAGAGGAGCTATCTATAATATCCAAATTGTCCTCCATACCCTTCAAGTATGGTTCAAAACACGTTGCTCATGTGCGAGTTGCTCATGTGCGAGAAAGTTCCGATATACAATAAAAATTTGAAATAAAATAAAAATAATAAATAACTACCATATTAAATAAATCACATATTTATACACACATATTGTGTGTCCTCTCATTACTTCCCCCCCACTTCCCTGGATGCCTGGAACTCACAATTCCTTGGACTCACAGTAAAGACCTTCCCATCTATATAATGAAGCAGATAACATGGAATCACCTTGCGCTAATTATCTTATTAATTTAATAATCTCAAAAATATACATCTCCCCCCTCAAACAAAGATTTCCACCAATTAATGCTTGTTGCAAAATTAAAATCTTAAACCAACTATAAATAGCTCGCGCCTCGTCCTCTCTACCAACCGCCTCTCTGTCCATCCCCTGTTTCTCTCTCTAAACTCCTCCTCTGTTCTTATTCTCTCTCTCTCTCTCTCTCTCCCTCCCTCTCTTGGGTTTTTATTAATGGCGGCAGATGTGTGAGCGCTGGGATAAATGGGGATGAGAAGAAAGTGTTTCAATGCGTTTTTTTTTAAGAGTTAGAAATATTGGCGTTGTAAATGTTTGTTGATTTTAAGGCATTCTTTGCTCCAATTTTCGTTAGTGTTCTTGTTCCTCCTTTCACCCTTTCATCATACAAGATTACTGAAACAGAACACTGATTAACATGTATGAGCACTCTACTGTTTTCTTATCAGGCAACAGATCAATTGCTATTCTTTGTAATAATTCCATCTAGGTTTGTTAAAAAAGCAAAAGAACACGAACCGAAACCTTGCACTTTGAAAAAACTAACCACATATCTCATTCATGATTTCAAATTAGCTAGGGGTGAGTAGTACCTACAGCTTATATATTGCCCAATGAGATTTTTTTTACCTCCAACATACAATGTATATTTATGTTTTTGTCTGATATGTGAAGGGATGCTGGCCATGGGGGGAGTCTGCGGCGGCCTGCCGGAGAGCGGTGCGGCTAAGCCCAGCGGCCAGGAGACGGCGCGCTACGCGGTCCAGTGAGGCCGGTCTGGTGGCGACAGGCGGCGGCGTTTCGGATGGAGGAGTGGCGTGGGGCCGAGGCCGGCGCAGGAGGCTGCCGTGCGGGGCAGCCGAGGAGACGGCTTTGGCGGAGTTAGGCAGCTGCGCGGGCCGAGGCGGAGTGGACGGTCAAAGGCGCAGCGCATCGGTTACGGCTGCGCGGGCGAGGCCGGCGGGGGAGGAGTTTATTTTTGTACAGGATTTCCACATTCTCCTCCTCGCTAAGCCCTGAAATTTAAGTCATTGACCGGATAAGAATAAAAAAGGAACTCAAATATGATTTTATGTAGTATTAGATAATTGTAAGTATGCACAAAAAATTCACCCATAAAGGCAGTTTGATTTATAATAACAATGAGGTGCATAAAGGAACTGTACAAAAAATACAGACAGAGAAAATAATAAGTTTTCAATGTGAATACCGTGAACCTGGATATTACAAACACCACATGTTTTATATAGATTATGACTAATTTATTTCATACTACATGTTACACTAAATTTAAAATTTTGTAATCTTCATATATAAGATATGAGCAACCATAGAGTGACAATTAAATAAAAAAAGGGAATCTACAGTCTCCAATAAATAAAGTAAAGCTACTATCTCAAAAAGGAAGCCCTTCTTTTTTCTTTTCCTTTTTTAAATTTTTTGCCCCTTAAAAAAAAGGAGATCAACAATAAAGCAATATTGACAAAGGATCTCCATGAAACACTATAGATGCTAAAGATGACCCTTATAGTGTCAAGACAAAATCTCCTTGGAGAAATATCAAGAGAGCTAAAGAATTAACAAAACAATTGTTGTAGCCGATCGAAAATAACTTAAATGCTCACATTGCAAAATTTCAGTAAAGTTGCTTTAGCAGAAGCCCCATTCAAAGATCCCTTGTCGCATCTCTCAGGATCCGGCGATGAAGACTTAGGCGGTGATACAAAAATAGCTTTCAGATCCACCGTGTCTACTGTATTACCCGACTCTCTGAAAAACTGAAGAAAAAAACCACTTGCATGCATCAGACGCTCAAACTTCGGATTAAGGAAAAGTTATCATGCCTCTTTTAACAAACTCAACAAATATTACTTTCATGAGAGATCCCAAAATTTATGGCCTATGGACTTAGTAACTGTTAGAATTAATATAAGATTATAATCTTCAACCCTCATTATAACTTTAAGAGTTTTTGTTCAATGGTAGAGGGACTTGACAAAATGGTATCAGAGCGCTCCATGTGCGAATCTTGACGGCCTTGAATTTAATCCGGATTTTTAAAAATGGTTACAGTTGCATGAGTCCAGGTTCTTAACACATAAAAACGACACTCAACCTCGGGGAACATGATAGAATTAATATAAAACTATAATCCTAAACTCTTACCATAACTTTGGAGTTTTGATGAAATGGTTAGAGGAATTTAATTTAAGAGTAACCTCCCTCAGCTTCATATCTAAGTTGCTATAGCAGTGAAAGAAAACAGTGAAGAGGAAAGAACGAATTTTGAGGGGGGTTCCGCTAATGGGTAAGAGGTTTTTCACTTTCTTTTTGTTGTGATTTCTCAAGGAGATTTCTCCTCAATTTATAGGGGCTGAACCCACTAACTCCACCCCCCCAGATCCGCCCCAATGAGAGATTTTCTCTCAACAACCCTTCCACGTTTTCACGTTCCACAATTCTCTCTACTGAGAATTGTTGATTTGGTCATCTTAGACCAGGTCAAGCTAACATCTCCCACTTGACCAAATCAACCAAGTGATATGCCTCCCACTATCTGTGAGATCAGATGTTTCTGCTTACCATTACTCCCACTATCCGTAGAGAGTAACTCTTATTTTATTATTCATAAAATTTTACTTGGACTTATTTATTCCTAAGTCCCATCAAACTTACATGTTTGATAAAAGATTCCGCTGGTATTCCTTTTGTCAAAGGATCAGCAATCATATCTGTAGTAGGGATATAAGTCACTTTGACTTCTCCCTTTTCTACAATATCTCGAATATAGTGATACTGGATCTCAATATGTTTTCCTTTGGAGCTATTCGCGCCACTATTGATTAAGCTAATTGCTGCTTGATTATCACAATAAATATCAATAGGTCCTTCTAACAAATTGAGATCAAGATCAATCAAAAACCGTCTTATCCAGACAGCATGTGTAGTTGCCATACTGCAAGCTATATATTCAGCTTCTTGCGTATATCTAGCAACACACCCTTGTTTCTTACTACTCCAAGAAACAACTCCTCCTTCAAAGATGAATAAGTGTCCCGAAATGGACTTTCCATCATCTTTATCACCTCCGAAATCAGCATCGGAATAACCGAGGAGTTCAAGCGAATCAGCTTGATAAACTAATCTATGAGTCAATGTACCTCTGATATACTTCATAACCCTTTTAACAGCTTCCCAATGTGCTGGTCCTGGATTACTTTGATATCTACTGACTAGACTCACAGCATAAGCTATATCAGGTCTGGTGCACAACATTGCATACATCAAGCTTCCAATTGCTTGAGCATAAGGAACATCTAATGGCTTCTGCCCCTCTCCAGGGCTTTGCTCTTTACATAATCTCTTTCCCATAACCAACGGAGTTGGTGCCGGATTGGAATTCTCCATTCCAAACCTTTTAAGAACTGATCTTAAATATTTTTCTTGGTTTAAACTTAGCATTCTAGACTTTCTATCTCGAATTATTTGAATTCCAAGAATATATGATGCATCTCCCATGTCTTTCATCTCAAACTTTTCGCTGAGATCTGCCTTGGTTTTATTCAACATTTCTATGTCATTTCCAGCGAGCAATATATCATCCACATATAAGGATAATATAGTAAACTTGCTCCCACTTTTCAAGACATATACACAATTATCTAATTTATTTTGAATAAAACCAAGTTTAGTAACTGCATCATGAAATTTGAGATACCATTGTCTAGAAGACTGTTTTAAACCATATAGAGATTTCATTAATTTGTAAACTTTATGTTCCTGTTCTTTCACCTGAAAACCTTCAGGTTGTTGCATATATATTGCTTCCTTCAACTCTCCGTTAAGGAATGCAGTTTTAACATCCATTTGGAATAACTCCAAATCAAGATATGCAACAATAGCCAAAATAATTCTAATGGATGCAAATTTAGCTACAGGAGAATACGTCTCCTGAAAATCTATTCCTGCCTTCTGGTTATAACCTTTGGCAACTAACCGTGCTTTGAATTTATCAATAGATCCATCAACACGATATTTCTTTTTGAGCACCCATTTGCATCCTATGGCTTTCCTATTTTCTGGTAGATCACATAACTCCCATACCTTATTCTTTTCTATGGAATCAAGTTCTTCTCTCATAGATTCTAGCCATGAAGCTGATTCATGCGATTTCATCGCATCAGAAAAAGTTAAGGGATCTTGTTCTTCTATATTTGTATCTACCGAGAAACATGATGACTCACATGAATACAAATAGTAATCATCCATCCATGAAGGTTGTGTTCTTTGCCTTTTGTTGCCTACAACCGGTTGATTAGGTACATTATTTTCCATAGGTATTTCATCATTTTCAAGGTTAGGTTCATTCACAATATCAGGGTCATTAGTGGGAACAACACTGTAATAATCATCATCTATTACAGTTAGAGGTTCTGTTTCCTCTTGAACTTGTTCCTCTTCCTCTAGATTCTCTAGAAATGTAGCATCTCTGCTTTCAATGACTCCTTTTTCTTTATTGTAGAACTTATAACCTTTTGACTTTTCTGAATACCCTATGAATCTACACTTTATTGTTTTAAAATCCAACTTATCTCTAAGTTGACATGGAATGAGAACATGGGCTATAGATCCCTACTTCCTGAGATGACTCAAATTAGGTTTCCTCCCATTCCATAATTCATAAGGTGTAGATATAACTGATTTGGTGGGAATTCTATTTAAAATGTAGTTTGCAGTTAACAATGCTTCTCCCCAAAAGTTTTTAGAGAGACCAGAATGAGACAACATGCATCTAACTACATTTAATAATGTTCTGTTCTTTCTTTCAGCAACACCATTCTGTTGTGGCGTATACGGCATTGTTGTATGCCTTTTAATTCCATGCTGAATACAATAACTTTCAAATTCTTTAGAATTATATTCTCCACCTCTATCAGTTCTCAGAATTTTGATTTTCAATCCAAGTTGGTTTTCAACTTCTGTCTTATATCTCTTAAAGCAGTCAAAAGCTTCTAATTTTCTGGATATAAGATAGACGTGTGCAAACTTGGAATAATCATCTATAAAAGTAATAAAATATTCTTTATTACTATGAGTTTTGACACTTAGGGGACCACAAATATCCGAGTGTATCAACCCTAAAAGTTCATTGGCTCTATGTCCGCCAACAAAAGGTTTTCTAGTCATTTTACCAGTTAAACAATGTTCACATGGTGGCAATTGAATATTAGATAGTGCAGGAAGCAAGTTCATTCTGATAATTTCTTTCATTTTTGAAATACTAGCATGTCCTAGTCTAGAATGCCACAATTCAGATTCAGAAATATAACAAGACAAGTAGTTCAAATTCGAAATTTTATTATCAGAATTATTACAAACTACTGGAAGAATGCATAATTCATGCTCGGGCACATATTTACCCATAGCATACACTTTATTATTCTTGCCTATAGAAACCCTGTTATTATAGAACCTCACTTCCAGTCCTTTCTTCATTAAGCTGGGAACAGAGATCAGATTGCGTCGAATTCCTGGCGCATAGAACACATCTTTGAGGACAAGAATGCTGTCCCCAAGATCCAATCTATACGAACCAATACCTTCTACATCGAGATAGGTATTATTTCCCATATAGATTCTCTGTTCTCCTTTCTTCAGCTCGGTGAATTCTACGACTCCATTCTTGTCCTTTGCGATATGCCTAGTCGCACCGGAGTCGATCCACCAACCACTGATATCCGTCATCACAGCATTACATTCCGTCACACCGACGAATTCTCTTTTGCTAGTACCCCCTTGTTCTGGATGCTTATAGCCTCCCTTATTCTCCTGCTTTTCACCTTGTGGGCAATTGGGTTTGAAATGCCCGAACTTTCCACAATTGTAGCAGGCTCCGCGGGGTACTTTCTTTCTCTTGAACTGCTGCGATTTCGGTCCTCGTGGTTGTGGTTTACTAGAACCAGGGTTTTTATAGCTTCCAGCATTATGCCTCTGGCGGACATAATTCAGCTCTTGCTGCACCATATTCAGTTCTGGTTCCTTCCTACTGGCTATTAAGTCCTGTTCTATCGTTAGGTGCATAGGAAGATCAGTGACAGACTTAATGGCATGATTCATTCTTAATGTGGTGGCAGCCACAACAAGTGAAGGGGGAAGACTATTTAAAATGGTTGCCACTTGCATTCTTTCCGGGATTTCGGTCCCAGCAGTGGATAAGTCCTTAGCCATGACAGTTATTTTATTTATATGCTCTACGACATTGTCTCCCTCTTGCATACGACAAGAATTATACTTATGCAAGAGTAGTTGGATGTTAACTTCAGAAGCAGTGTCGTATTTTTCTTTTATTGCATTCCACATGTCCATGGAAGTCTTATAAGTTTCAAAAACTTTGATTAAGTTATCTTCCATGAACATGAGCATAAGACTTTTCGCCTTTTTATCTTTCGACTTCCACTGTTCAAACCCTTTCTTTTCTTCAGGTGTAGATTTATCAGTAAGGGTTGGAGCATTGGTTTCGATTATATCATCAATATTGTCATGAATAAGAGCATATCCTATTTTTCTATGCCACATATCATAATTACTGCCATTAAATTTATCAATTTTGCCTAGTTCTTATAGAACGAGTTTACTAGCCATTCGGTAAAGAACTAAAACTAAATTCAATTTTAAATATTTGTATAAGGTTGATATTTTGACAAATAAAAAAAATTAGATAAATAAATTAATTAATTAAAATGAACCTGATTTTTGTGAGCTGATGAAAGAGGCTCCAATTTGAGCGAGTTTGTCACTTAGCGGTGTTGACCGAAGAGTCTGTTGTCGAAGCTTTGGCGTCGTTTTTATCTTGATTTGGAGATGATTTGATGTTGTCGACGTGTTCACCAGATAGAATTTGCAAAGGAATATTCGGACAATCCCAATAGATTGAAAAAATTGGGCCTTGTAAAGGTTAGTTACATGAACATGGGCCTGGCTTTAAAAAAATGGATTTGGCTTTGATAAAACAATGAATGGGATCTGTAACCTGGTTGTGGGGTATTGGGCCAGACTTTGATTCAAACAAATGGGCTTGGCTTTGATTTCAAAGAGAAACAGAAGAGATATAGGCTATATAGTAGGACAAAAAAAATAAATGAAAGACCTGCTAGTTGGATGTAGACGTGGGTGGGGTTAGATTGTAAACAATAGGCCTGTGGCTATGAAAAGAGAGTAAACAATAGGTGTAGGCCTGTGGCTATGAACAAAAACCAAGGCAGAGAAGTAGGCTGTGAATAATAGGACTGAAAAATAAAAAAGAGTAGGCTTTTCTTCTCCAAAAAATTGCTGCCGGTTCTTCTTCTTCAACCCAACTTATCTTCTTCTTCAACAATGGTCTCGGCTTCTCTCTCTTCTCAAAAAAAAATTTTCAATCTTGAGCTCAACCGATGGCCTCCGATCGCCTGCAGTCATCGACGTCGCAGCTCTCGTCGTCGCAGCTCCGGCTCTGATACCAGTGAAAGAAAACAGTGAAGAGGAAAGAACGAATTTTGAGGGGGGTTCCGCTAATGGGTAAGAGGTTTTTCACTTTCTTTTTGTTGTGATTTCTCAAGGAGATTTCTCCTCAATTTATAGGGGCTGAACCCACTAACTCCACCCCCCCAGATCCGCCCCAATGAGAGATTTTCTCTCAACAACCCTTCCACGTTTTCACGTTCCACAATTCTCTCTACTGAGAATTGTTGATTTGGTCATCTTAGACCAGGTCAAGCTAACAGCCTCCATATATTGTATGTGTCACTTGTAGTAAACTACATGCAAAATTCAATTTTAGACAATGCTACCCATTCTTGATACCTACAAATTAACATCTTCAAAGAAGCAAACAAAATATATTTTCATGCCCAGTTAAGTCCAGAAAACGAGCATGGCATGATCTCACATAGGAATTAGTTTTTTTTTTTTTTAATGTCGATCGAATTACCATTTTATGAGCAACGATGTCCTTCACAGTGGCTCCTGCAAAGGTGACGACGGCATAAACAGAAAAAGCGACATCGCATCTCATGTTGCGTGGTGCTTTCCTTTGATCGTCCATTAGAACTATAATTGAAAAAAATCTGAATTAATTAGAACTATAGCAAAAGGAGATCAAACAGGTAGAAAGTTTGTGAAAATTTACAAAACCCACCAATGGCTTCGCATGTGGATCGTGGCAAGAGGATTGCCATGGAAGGTCGAATGCTGTAGTCCTCCCAATTCGTGGACGTCAACTAAAACAAGAGGAAAAAAACACACACAGAAAACATCAGTTAATTTTTACGTGTTTTCTGAATCTATATATCCAAAAAAAAAAATCAAATTAGAATTACCTTCAAGGCAATGTGGTCATCAGTTTTGTTGGATATAAAGATAGAGTACGGTATCTGCTTCTTTAATTCGACTGATCAAACAAAAACTACGAAATTAAACGAGTAAAATTAACAAATAAGACCCCGGCCCAACATTGATCGAGATTAGAACGAAATGTACTTTACATGGGAATCGGATTTGTGTTGGTTTAACCTCAATCAGCTTGCCGTTGGTGTATTTGGGATTAAGTGATCGAATATGAACAGATGTTGGGAAGACGCAAACAACCTGCAGTGTGACCTCGTCCACCTTATTATCTGCCTTCTGATCAATGAACTGTAGGAAACCCAAATTTAATTATTCAGGCAACGCTACTCAATATTTAATACATTATAGTGAATAACAGTGGTATGATTATACTATACACAAATACTAGAAATAAGAATGGTTGTAAATAGCATATAATTTGTTATTATTATTCTATGTTATAGTTAAAAAAACTATAGTTATATATTATAATATTAAAGCATTATTTAATTTGTTATAAGCATCTAAATAAATTAATACTAAAAATATAATAAATACCCAAAATATAGAAATTACTCATGCAATATTCTTTGCACCCAACACAGTTTATTAGTATTAGAATTTTACATCGGTACAATCATATATAGTTTTGTGTATTCTTTGCACCCAACACAGTTTATTAGTATTAGAATTTTACATCGGTACAATCATATATAGTTTTGTGCGCTCGAATGAAAAGAGTTAAAAAAAAATATTAGAATTTTACATCGGTACAATCATATATAGTTTTGTGCGCTCGAATGAAAAGAGTTAAAAAAAAAAAGGTATGTTCACGTGCAAAGTATGAGCATTATATATAGTAGATCAAAACAAACAAAGAAACACACGCAAGGCAAGTGAAAATGCCTTGTAAATCCAACTTAAAACGAACTTGATGCTACATAAAAAATTTGATTAAATTAATTACCCATTTGTCCGTGAAGTCATCAGGACCGGCTCCTGCGAAGGTGACGACGGTGCTTTCCTCCGCGGTAGCATTATTACTAATAACCAAATTATAAAATTAAGTAAATATAGTTCAACTACAAAACAAATGGGTGTATTAATTATATGATATTCATAAACAATATTGTTACAAAAATTACCCTCGACTTTGCATGTGGATCGGGGCAAGAGGATGTATCTGTCGGGCTGAGCGTGGTACTTCTCTGCGGCGGCCGAACAAAGCTAAATCAAACCAGAAAAAAGGGGAAACAAAAAAAAAAGACATCATCAATTTCGAATTATTTTATGTATTTTCTTAATTTATCCAACTGAAGAAAAAAAAACCAACGAGAGTTTACCCTATAGGCCATGTGGTCATCGGTTTTGTTGGTTAACATGATGTAACACAGGCTGAACCTTTTTGATTCGACTGATTAATTTTTGGGGGGGGGGGGGGGGGGAAAAAAAAAAAAAAAAAAAAAAAAAAAAGGGGGAGGAGGGGGGCAAAAACAAAACAAAACAATGAAATTAGATGAATTAATTATGAGCCAATATAATTAAGAAGAGATCAGCTACTTACACGGGAATCTGAGTTCGGGCGGGTCGACTTGAATCAGCTTGCCGGTTGCCATGGAAGAGAGAGGGGGAGAGATGATGCAGGTTTCCATGGAAGAGAGAGGATGATGATGATGATGAGCCTACAGTTTTTTGTTTTTTTTTTCAAAACCCTAAATTAACTATTTTAAACCCTAACAGTACCGTTTAATTTATAGCCTTAATTTAGTTCAACAACCGACTTACATGGCATAGAGTAATTTAATTAGAACTAACATGGATATATAATTCTTTACTAACTCTAATTTCTTAACCAACTCTAATTCCTTACGAAAACAAAAACAAAGCAAGACGGTTGTTTAAATTATGAGCCAATATATAATTCTTTACTCTTGTTTAAATTTGTTATCTCCAAAAATGTCCCTACTTCACAAGATCTAGACTTTTGCTAATTATTCCTCACACTTGTTAAGTATTATTCTTTTTCCTTATTTTTTTGGCTAATGGAAAAATCCAAAAAAATTACAAGATAACCCTTCAAACTACAAGATAAACTCCAAGAACCACAATTCCTCTCGGGTCTTATTCTCTCGTATGGTTTGTTTTAAAACAATCAAGAGCAACCGAGTTATGTTCTTACCAAAACAGGATTCATCAATCAACCCGAGTGAATAATTTTTTGCATCATCAACTGAGATCCTTTCCTTCTACAAAGATTCAAGCTTTCACAAGGCAATGCCAATACCCTCCGATCAATTCATCATATACTCAATGAAGACCTAGGGCAATCCCCACAGCGCACGGTCAAGAACCTACCAAATAAAAAATAAGGAGAAGCCAATGTTCCCTTCTCCTTATGATGCATGTTTAGAAATCTAAAATAAACAGTCTTTCCATGAGTGGAAAATTTGTTAGTTTACTACATCCTGGTGTTCGTTTGATGCATGTTTAGAAATCTAAAATAAACAGTCTTTCCATGAGTTTCTAGTTTATGTTTGATGCTTCACGGAATTCTTGTGACTTTGCAGTTTATCTCAATGTTAGATCTGTGAGATTTGTTAATAAGGCCTGTTTTGCTTCTCTTTTCAAAGTTTCTTAGTGACAGTTCACTAACGTTGGTAGGATATAAAGCTATCAATTATTCAACCAAACACAACGGATATGGAGCGTTTGGCAACCGTGGCGTTTTTGTCGTTACTGTTTTTTTTTTCAAAAAAAACAATGAAATGCGTTTTTTTTACTTACGTAACCTTTACAAAATCCAAAAAATAAATATTTTTCTCAAAACATCAAAAATGTATTTTAAGATTCTGTTTTTTCATATAAGCCGCCGCTACCGCCCGCCCGTCGGTCGGCCACCGTTGTCCGCCTGCTCGTCGGCTCCTCCTATTATTACAGAAGAATAGATGACGAATATAATGAAAAATGTGTAAAGAACGTGAACATCAAATTTATAGTGCTTTTTGTTTAGAAACAACAACTGCCATCACACACACACCCTCTTTCCATATATTTGGAGTATCAAACAACGTTATTTCGTATGAATCCTTATAAAATTAAAATTGTAATAGCAAGAGTTTCTTCATCTCACGCGCATTTGCACATGCTAAATTTCTACCGACCAATAAGATTCTGAGGGGCTTGACGACAATCTCTAAGATTTGAGGGACTCGTCCGAATACCAAACTCTTTTCGTCAAAAAAAATTATTGGATTACGTGTCAGAACCCGATAGGCCAGCTCCCTCGACGATGATTCATTCTGACGTGGCGGAGCCAATCGCGCGCTTAAAAAGGCTCGTTCACAAAAAAAAAAATTCTCCACCCCTCTTCGTCACCTCCGTCTCTAGAAATCTCCACCCGCGCGATCGACCTCCCGTTCAAAATTAGGGTTAGTAGGGCAGGCGGTTCTCGCGTCGATCTCGGTCGAGATCGAAGCTCGCTTTGAGATTCTCGATTTCGTCGTTGACCGGAGTGATTAGGGCTTAGGGCTTCGGTTCTGTGGGAAATGGCGCAGGCTGTGGAGGAATGGTACAAGCAGATGCCCGTCATCACGCGCTCGTACCTCACCGCCGCTGTAATCACCAGCGTCGGTTGCTCTCTTGAGGTATTATTTCTTTTTCCCCCCCTTTTTTTTAATTGTTGGGAAATTAGGGGGTGTAAATTTGAAATGCGGATTTGAATTATGAGCGCAGATTATATCTCCGTACAACTTGTATCTCAACGCAAATCTCGTGGTTCAGCGGTGGGAGGTCTGGCGGCTCGTCACGAACTTCCTGTATTTCCGGAGAATGGGTAAAGTCCAGCCTTTTTATTTTTTTAGTGTCTAGTTATGGAAAATCCGTGCTCTGATATTTCAAAGATTCAATTTTGTATTCTTTGCAGTGAGTGATAATCCTAATTAGATTTAGAATTCGTAACTGAGAACCCAGTTGTTCTTTCTTGCCTGAGTAGCCTCTTTTCTACTGTTTCTTGTAGGTGAAAAAAATAATAATAATGAAAAAGTTAAACAAGCTCTTAGTTATAATCAAATCTCTCAAAAATGCTAAATCATACTTTAAAACATACCTATGTCTTAAGTTTTGGAAGCTCGTTATTCTCCTTCTTGCTAATTACAAACAACTAGAAGAAAGTGCATGCAGGCAATAGATTTTACTACGAAGGTTTTCCCTTTTCCTAACTTGTTACTCATCTCGGGGATTTTATTCTTCAAGGTTCTTAATCTACTTGTTCACTCTTGCTTCATGCTATCATTGAAGGCTCGTTCTGTAAAGCAGATTATTGTGATTAATTATTCAGAAACTATGGCTGTGCCAGTCTTTTTTTTCTCTTCACAATACTTCAGAGTTTCGGCTATTTTAAGTCTCCACACAATATTCCTTGTCATCTTTTTATCTGCTTACCTATTTTGTTCTGACTTCTGACTTCTTTTATTTATTTATACAATCTTGCTTTGCACCCCATGCCTTTTTAATTGAGTAGCTTGTGTTGTTGTCGCCAGACCTCGACTTCTTATTCCACATGTTTTTCCTTGCCCAATATTGCAAACTGCTTGAGGAGAACTCGTTCAGGGGACGGACTGCAGATTTCTTTTACATGCTCTTATTTGGTGCTGCTGCTTTAACGGGCATTGTTCTAATTGGTGGAATGATACCCTTTGTGTCAGAGAAGTTTGCAAGCATTGTATTCCTCAGCAACTCATTGACTTTCATGCTGGTCAGTCTCTGAAACAATGCTTGTTTTATTTAGGGGGTGTTTGGTTCGTTTCCATAAAATAATGGAAATGGAATCCAAGGCAAATAACCATTTCCAAAAAAAATTTGGATCATGCAGGAATCCATAACTTGTGTTTGGTATAGAATGATGAAGTGAAGAATAGGAAAGCATTTCCAAAACTCATGTTTGTTTCATTTTCAAAAAATTTAAGGAGTTGTGAGAGTAATTGATGAGTTGTCAATTAGTTGTCAGATTTCCAGCCTATTTCAGAGCTTTAAAAATGGATTTGGCTTTTCCATAAAGTGTGTTGCCATGTCAGCTTTTAAGAAATGCATTCTTAAAAAAAAAAGTTGAACCAAATGACAGTTTTGGAATCCAAAAATGTCAAAAAACCTACTTTTTGTTCCAAAACTGCATGATTTCCAAAAATTTAGCCGAACCAAACACCCCGTTATTCGACTTAAAATTTTAGAGGCATGAGGGGATTCCCTTATATGACAAGGATACCCATTATTCTCCTCAAATTAAATCAATTTCTCTGATTGTTTATTAGTTTAAAACCGCCTTCATATATGGTGCTAGTGATGCATGCCTTACTTCCTCTTGCTGGAATTTGGTCTCATTACATTTCTCTTCAGGTCTATGTCTGGAGCAAGCACAATCCTTTTCTCCAAATGAGTTTCTTGGGCCTCTTCACTTTTACTGCAGCTTATCTACCATGGGTGAGTAATTTCGTTGGTTGTACTAGGTCAACCTGATGTCAATTGCTTGTTTTTTTCCCCCTGTTTAGATCATTGGGTTCGACATAGCTTCAATAAACAGGTCTTTTAAACTCAATTCTAAAAATTTTAGTAGTTTTCATGGCATAAACTGTTGCTCTCATCTCAGTACAGAGACAATTAGCTGTAGGTTTAGGGTGCCTACCCGTAATAGCTATATCTATGAATAGGAAATCCAAAGAGGGCAGTAAAAAAGTATATCTGCCCGTTTTCAGTAACTGCAGGTCCATGGTTCTTTGCTTACTAGTATCTTCTAATTTCATTATGTTATAGTAAGTTGTAAGCAGTACCCAATATGAGTGATTCACAATGAACTCAAAACATTAGAATGCGCACTCTTCTTAGACTAATATCACCTTTAGATCTTATGTTGTTTTTACTTTGACTTAAAGTCAACTGAATCATTTTCTGTTTCTCTTATTTTCAGGTTTTGCTGGGGTTTTCTACTTTGCTTGGGACCAGTCCTTGGGTTGATGTTCTGGTATGCTACGTCTACAAAGCTTTTATAAAAATTTTCGAATCAATGTTAGAAGATAGTCCCATATAATCAAGCAACATTTCCCATAATGATAGTATGGCATACAGTATATTGAACTATTCCTGGGTTATAATAAATTTTCGTATGTTGAATCAGTGTTGGTAAGGCAGTTCCATAGAGAATGCTACTTTGAAGTGTCTGGTTTTTACATCCAATATAGTACTTGACAAAGTTAAGTTTGAATGTAGGGTATGGTAGCTGGTCACTCATATCATTATCTTGAAGACGTGTACCCACGGATGACTGGGCGACGCCCCCTGAAGACCCCAGCCTTAATCAAGTCGCTATTTGCAGAAGAGAATGTTGTCGTCATGCCACGAGCAAATGCAAGGTCTTGACGTTGCGAACTTTGTTCTCACTGCTTGCTTGGTTAAACAAATGGCATGACATTGGGAAATTAGGGGGCATCTTGGTGAGAGTCTGTAGTCTTGGATAATAGATATTCACACGATCCATCGTTGAAGTAGTTCCACTTGTATATTAGGCTAGAGCTGAGATAAGCTCGTTGTGCATAAAAATTAACAGCGACGCTGTCTTTTAACGTTTTAACTGGGGTATACCTCTCAAGTTTGTTCATTTGCACAATTACTCCTCGAATCTCAACTGTTTGTCATTGTGTTGCGAGATTTTGATTTAACATTGAGAAATTGAAGGTGTCACAGCGACAGCCTGTATTGTTTTGGATATGGGAGGCGCATCTCTACTCGTTATCTTAATTCTATACAGCAGTTGTTCCTCTTATAAATGGTAGAGCTAAAGTGAAGTTAGGCTTCCGTATGAAGCTAACGATGCATGGAACTCCACTACAATGAATGCGATTTTGTAGATTCGTAAATATTAATCCTACATAACAAGTATAAATATTTGTTATTCTGCAAAGTAATTGAAAAGATGTGCGTGTTTTCTTTGTTTAAAAATATCTCCTTTTTTTTGCCCTTCCTCTTTGCTGATCGTCATTCCTGACGTAATTAATTTGAAATAACGAAATAGCTTTTGCAAATTGTTAAGGTTAATCAAACGGTTACCAATTAAGCATATATTTTTATCAATCAGGCAATCTGAAGCGAACAGATGGACCGGCAAAGAGAAAAAGTTCAACCCCGCCTCCTGCAACTTCTGCCTCCAAACATGCATACGATGAGAATTCAACAAAAAGAAATATCAAAAAAAGTGATAATAAGCTTAACTTGAGCTAAGGATACAACTGGAAACTAGAAACAAAATATTATCACTTTCGTCCTATTAATTAAAACAGGGTCTGACGATCCAGGATACTGAAGTCCATGAACTACACAATCACCAGATGATTTTAAAAACAAGAGGCCTCATTTGGTATGCAGGAATAGATGGGAAAGGAATGCCCATGCCCCCTTCTCATTCATGCTTATAAACACAACGCTAGAACGTCCATCCCCACTTCATTCATTGATCATTGCCAATGAAAAAAAATAGAAAATGGACAATCCTACTTAAGCGAGAATCAAAAAATCAAAATAACTTTCAAACATGCATGATTGCATATCAAGCATCCAATACCAAAAAGAAAAAGATAATAATTCCCCTTTTATTCTCTAAATGAATCCAAACATTAGAATGAGAACAAACATTTTATTCTTAAATTATTTTCACTCCATTCCTTCATTCGATTCACTTGATGTGATTCCCACATACCAAAATAGTGGTGAAGGAAGCATAACTACGAACCTTCTTAAATATGCATAAACAGCAAGGGATTACAAGCAAAAACACCATTTCAACAGTATCATCAGTTTAAAAAAAAATACATAATACAACTTAGAATACACAAATATTTAACAAGCAAATGAAGTACATAGGATCCTGTCAAATTCTATTTCTTTGGGAAAGGGGATGGTATATAGAACACAAACAATCCTATACTACACAGCTGATGGCTGATCAAAATGTTGCCAAATATCTCTGCATCCAGGGTTAAATATTTGAGTCCTAGCTGCTACAAGAAACTGCTGCTGCTTCAACTAGACATAAGAAATCGCTAGCAAGTATCACAAGCAGTCCAAAACAGCTTCCTGAAACAGCAAAGGTTTCTAACATCTTCCCCGAAATTTTCCCCCCATCAAATTCAGCAAAAAATGACTAAACTAAAAAAAAACAGAGGGGAAAGAAGGAAAAAAAATCTAAGATAAAGCTAGGCACTCTAGCGATAAATTCCGCATTAACACCATAGGAGATGTGAAGCACCCTGTAGAATTAGAAGATAAGGGCAAAACGATATTCTTCTGAAATTAGGGGTTGTCAGATTGATGCTTGAACACAAACACTAAGAATCAACCATCTCATCCTGCAGTTCGTTCGGGGCAATAAGGCCTGGAATGGACAGCATCCTTTGGCGTTCCCTTTCTTTTTGGGCTGCTGCCTCCTCTGCATAAAGATCTTTATTGTCCTGCAAATTAAATTCAAACAGCCATGAACTGAAGGCCTAAGAGAGCTGCTTACCTTTGACAATAATTAACATAGCTCAACATCTCAGAACATCTTGTAACCCTACGTAACTCAACCCCCTTCAGAGCTGCGTGAGTTGCACTAAACCAAAACCCACACACAGGAATACCAGAGAGGATAACAGATATGCAAGCTATTTTGACTTTTAATATCTTCAAAAATTACCTGAGCTGAAAATTCTTTGGACTGTACAAGAAAATCTCTAATGTGATTCTTGAAAGCCGGGAGATCACTTCTTGATGTAAAGATCCCATCAACAAATTGTGTCACCTGGAAAAATAGAAGAGATAAATATTCACCCAAAACTAAAAAGAGAGTAAAGTGGGTAGCTAAATTGGACTTACCTCTGCTAAAGTCATATTTGGGAATGATGATCCTAGAAGTTTTATGGTGTAATCACGAACAAACACCATATTATTCGGGTAAGGGAAAGATACAGTGGAAGCATCCCACAAGGGCTCAGTTAACGAACCAGAGTCGACCTTGCATTCACCATTAAATCGAAAGTATGAAGACAAGAAATGAGGGAACAAACAATGGCAAGTAGGAACTGTTAACTTACCAGACAAAACAGATGCTGCAGAATTAAAACATGCAGCTTGAAACCTGGCTTGTGAAAGGTGTCTGTCAAAACAGCAAAGATCTCTTGCTCGATTGTTAAAAAGTAGGTCCTGTGGAACTGATTACAGAAACCTGAAGCCTGCAGCAGTCCTCAAGTGGTAAGAAAAAGCAAATTTCCCATGAAGGGCAAGCAAGAAAGAATGAAGACCAGACCTGGAAATTCTTGAGCATCTCCAACAAAAGAATAAGACCAGTCTCTGCAATATTCCTTTCAGTATGACGAAAAGCCCAGATGACAGAGTCCATGACAAGCTTCAATTGCTGTGCAGCTCAAAAATGGATACAGAAGATAAATGAAAAAACATATCAGAGAATACAACATCACCATCACCACCATTATCAACAAAAACAAAGCCCCTAATCCAAAAAACAAAGTTGGTCTACATTTCAGAAATGTGATCCAGGCAAACATATCAAATTTACAGATATTGTCAAATACATGTTTGCACTATATTCATTTGGAAGACAGCAAAGGAGTTACTAACCTGACTTGATAATTGATATAAAGCTTGAAAACAATGCGTAGCAATTGCTCGTAATAGAGAAAAGAACTTGAGGCGATGCTCGGGGTAATCTTCAAAGTTCTTGGTGATCATCTGGAATTAAAAGATACTCTTGTCATTTAGAGACAAAGAAAAAAGCTCAATAATACTTTATCACTCACCTCAAGAGTGCACTGAAAAACAGCTTCGAATATCCGAGGTACGTCCTCCATCATTACAGCTTTATATCTATATGAATCCACAAGAACAAGAAATGTATTCAATGCATTACCTCACGATTCTGGAACAACTAAAGCAGATAGGAAATATCGCTACCAGGACTTGCAACATTGCAGTAAACTAAAAATTAGGATGCAACTATAATTAATCTTAAAATGCCAATTATACAAATTTACAGACAGCATTGTACAACAATATGAAAGTGTTCACAACCTTGTTTAAAGAAACTAACATAAATCATCCGTGAGAACTTATTATAATCATGCTGGATATTTCCGTTCTTTATTTCATGCTTGAATGGAGCTTCTTTTTCCCTATTTTTGGATGGGTGTTTTTCTGTGTGCATGGTTGGTGGGTTCTCGGTACCGTTTTATCTTTTGATATCTTTTTAACGTTTGTCTGTGTTGTGGAGGGAGGGGTGGAGTCAGACATACAGCAGAGGAAACACAGGCATAAAACACACAAAAAAAAACTTCAGTAAAGAATCTGAGCTACTGTTCAATCTTCTCGCGCTGCAATATTAGAAAAAACAACCAGTGGATGAGCTTTGGTACTTTCAGGTCACTTATGTGCATTTTCATCGATTATAGCTTTTGATATCTTTTTTATGTTTGTCTGTGTTGTGGAGGGAGGGGTGGAGTCAGACATACAGCAGAGGAAACACAGGCATAAAACACACAACAAAAACTTCATTAAAGAATCTGCGCTACTGTTCAATCTTCTCGCGCTGCAATATTAGAAAAAATGACCAGTGCATGAGACTTTGGTACTTTCAGGTCACTTATGAGTATTTTCATCGATTATATCACGAACAAAATAGTTTAGAAACCCACCACATGGTCGTATAAATAGAACAGACACAATAGGTTAAAAGCAGTTTATCTGGATAATAAAGATTTGCTGACAACAGAAGATAAGTTGTAAAAGTGAAATGAAGAAAATAATCATGGAGATTAGATGATTTGATCATGCAATTTAAAGGAGCAAATCCTTTGAAGGTCAAACTGATATTTCACAATTAAAAAAAAAGAATTAGAATTAAAATTGCATAAGGGTACTACTATGAGACAGAAAAAAAAATTGAAGTGACTATCTTGGGACCACAGTTACACAGCCTAACTGAAGTATAGACAGGCTAGAAAGAAATAATATCAGAGAAATGAAGGACATACTTATTTATTATTGTGGCAAATAGCGATAAGACTTCTGACTCCCTCGCATCAGGCAAATTTCTTGCATAGTCACCAAGGACAGGATCCATCATTGGTGGGACAAACTGCTTTCCTATATGGGGCTGCTCCTCAGCCTTGTCTAAAAAGGTTTCTATTAGCTTGAGAGTCTCTCGCTTTACAGACCTGTTCGTATACACAATAAGGTCAGTTGGGCCTAGAATCCTCGAGGAATGAAAAAAACCAAGAACACAAATAACTTGCAGAATTTAAGCTTTACCGCAGAAGTTTCACGAACGAAGTCCTTGAAGCATAAGGCCCCCCTTCCGCTATACTACTAGATATAAGCTCACTGTACATTCTGTAAAATAACAGAAAAGTAATCATGAGAAATTTATTAGATCCACACACCTACAGCAGTGATATGCTACTAGTAAAACCCACCTGTAAACAGTAAGCATGTCCAAGAATATCAATGATATTTGAGGAAAGAAAAATGTCCCAAGTGAACTGGCAACACTGGTGTTCGTCTGTAATCATCAAATAATGCTTTAGAACCCATCTTGACATATATGTACGATCAAGGAAAACAGGACACAAGTGCTATACCAAACAAAGAATAAAGACATGAAAGCCAGCTTAAGGACTAAAAATATCAAATAGTGAAGCAGAATATCACGTGAACCCACATGAATGTACAATGTGCTAGAAGCAAGATAAGCTTTTTAACGGTGAGAAAAAAAAATTATGCAAGTTAGCTGTGCTCAGTTAATTTTCTATTGCCCAGGCGGGCAGATTAACATAGTTCAGTTGTTTAATTCGATCCATTCAGAACCAAAAACACTCGGAAGCAAACGTAGGCTTTTAAGTAACATCAGGTTGAAAACAAGAAATGCTAAAGTTTCATGGTCAATCCAAAACAACTAAAAAAACTTCGTTCTATGACAATGAATGAAATAAATCTCCGTTGGTTCTTCAAAAAACTAGTATTGTAGTTCTCATAAGGGTCCTCTATAGCATAACAAAACAATGAATTTGCCAACATTCCTGAATTTTTGTTAAGCAACAATTCTCCGCGTTTTAATTACCTTCTAATAACTGGAAGTTCATTTTAGTCATCTTCAAAAGCGATATTCAAAAAATAATAATATGAATGAGTTTCTATCATACAAAATACAGAATGCAAAATCCCTGACAGATATGTGAGTTTTAGGTATCAAAGGATAAAATGGACAAATCAAGCATTCAATCATACTCCTCTCAACTTGACTGACTTACTGTCTAATCCATCACAAGCGAAAAAAATAATACATTTCCTAGATATAGAACATAGCTGACTTGTCGATGTGACTATTTGTTTGACTAAAGAAATCATTCCAGCCTTTAACCAATGACTAGTTAGTAAAAAAGAATTCAGATCTGCTGAGATGACATTTTAATAGAAACAAGTTACCTGCAAGATATTAAGAACAGTTCTTATAACCTCTTGTTGCTTCAAAATGTCAACACTTCGGCTGGCTTCTCCAATAATTTCTGCCCATTTCTGGAAGAACAAAACGAAGTGTCAGACAAGCGATTACATGGAAGTAAGATGATATTAAACCAATGAGAAAAACCAAAACAGATACAAAAAATAAAGGAAGTTCAGAGATGACATCATGACTAATAAGCATAAGGTACACCATAGTATCCCAAAAAGAAAAGAGAAGAATGTATGACCTGATTCGGAAGTTCCATTAACCTTTTCAGATACTCATCCCTCTTTGTAGCTTCAGATTCTGCTTGGATCATGTGCCCAACCTTCAGAAACAAAGAGTAAAATGATTAAATCAGGAAAGATGATGTATAACTTTTTCTAGTAGAAAGGAATATCTTACTTACCGACTCATAGAATGTATGAATCTGGTGAGGTTCAAGGTCTCCGACTGTATTTGCAAGGCTAGACAACAGTTCAGACACAAACGGCTCATTCTCACCAACCTAAAACATAAGACACTGTTGAGAACTTTGCTATGCTAATTAAATTAACATCGCTTATTACTCTTGCTGCTGCATTTACAAGAAAGAGCAGGTTTTTTAATTAAAAAAAACTAAATGAGCACATAACCACAGCATAAAAAACCCATGCAGTTGCGTCTGTTGGAGAACTATTCAATGTGAATACAGTGCAAAGTTTAAGGGGCAATGGGTATAAATCAAAAGACGGCAATTTGTGCTTAATATGAACCATCAGTATGTCAACTGGACCATACACTGCAGAAAAAAGAGTACTCAACTGCATTGTGGTCAATTTTAGTTAAACTACAGCACATAACCAGGAAATGGATGCTACCTGCGTGATCACAAATTTGCGCTTGCATTTCTGAACAATTTTCAAGAAAGTATCACATGCCATATCCTGAAAAGAATACAGACAAATGCAGTTAGCATGACACATAAATGTGAAAAAAAAACCATGAAAAGGGAACAACTTATGCCCAAGGAAAATAACATAAAATAGCATATCAGAAGACATAGAGCACGGATTCCAAATAACGTCTAAGCAATACAATGCTCTACTAAAAGAGAACATTAAGGTTTAGTAATGAATATTAAATAGCATCACTGTCAAAAAAAAGTTAAAAATTCTGCTAAGAGAAAATAAAAAGATGAAACCAAACATGGAAACATAAACACGACTAGTTAAATAATAATGGTAGCTGCACAAATATAACATAAGAAGCAAATAATCCCAAAAACAAAACTCATGTTAGAAGCATAACAAAGAGAATCCTGATTTAAGCACAAAAATAGTGCACAAGTATGACGGATGTTGACGAGTAGAAGATGTTTGTAATAGCAAAGCAGACAGAACAAGCAATCGAGCTCTGGCAGAGATGTTTAACGTCATTGCAAGCACTAGTGAAAAGATGAATAGAAGAATTAAATAAAATAAAATGATTACATATTTACTAAAATAAATAAATAAATCTGCACATCGTGCTGCTGCTGCTGAATATGATTCAAAAAGGTAGCAAAAACTAATGTATATAAAACTAAATTTTCAAATAATGTCGTGGATGCATTCATTTGTGACATAATTGTAGCTACTATATGTTTGTCACTCCATTGACACGGATATAACAGCAATCATTATACACATAATGAATGAGTATTCTGTCCATGACCGAGATCTAACAGTTAATCATGTCCTAATTTAATACAATTAATCTTAGAACAACTGATAAAAAAGACCACAAAAACAAATGCAATAACCTGAACTCCTGGATGTGTTTCGTGCATGAACTCAAACAGCTTATTAACCACTGTTTTCAAGAACTTCCAGTGAGCCCTGAGAAACCTTGGATACTGTCCAACAACATACCTATCACAACAAGCAAGGTGAGATCACATTCACCGCATAATCTTTAAAGCTATCATAAATTCAGGCACTACACACTCATACATGATGTTACTGGCAATAACCGCTTTGTTGTCTTTCCCTTTTGTGATTTCACAGAGATTCAGCAAGTCACGAATGACCATCACAAGAAACCTGTTCTCCTGCAAAAGATAAAAATGAATCAGCAAGGACCAAAACAAAAATTCTTACTTGGGAGGAGAGATGTTGATGGACGTTTAAAAGTTGAAGAGAAAGCATAAGCATTCAAAAAAAGAAAGCATGCAAATGATATGAAATATTTAAACCATTACCACAGTAATTAGATACACAGCGAATATATCATATGCAAGAGAATACTCAAAAGTTAAATATATAAAGAAATAAAAAATATTCAGACCTTAAAATTGTGCCTCTTCAAGTGAACCAATGATAGAGACACGAGGTACAGTATGACCATGATCGCGCATGTGGATATGTCAAATTCAATTTAAGGGAACAGGTATGTCTTGGATTATTGGGTATGGCAATATATACTATAATCATTAGTATCTAAGATGGGGATCCCCTACATTTGTAAAACAGCATTCCAAATTGTCATGGGATCCAATCCAATATCAATGGCTCTCTTTATCTTTTGTTCTTTATTCCAAGTTAGCGAGATGAGAGATCAGATCAGATTGCATGTTCTGTTCAATTTAAGGACTGAATCAAAATCAAGTTCACAGTCGATTCATGGTCAGGTTCATAGCCATATATATGATCTGATTATATGCTGCACCAGAACCATGAATCCATCAATCTGAACCTATTTATTGCACAAAAATGGAGATATCAGTGGCATATTTCAAAATCAGGCTCGATGGTTTCAAAATGCAAACTAAAATAACTGAGGATTTTTCCCTTGTAGGCACTGGGCAAAAGACATATTGTTAAATTTTTCAAATTTCCGGTATGAAAAAAAAAAGAATAAGAGCAACTTCACTTCAAAGCAAAGATCAAGGAAAACTACATTCATTAGTTCAGTTGACTGCGTGTTACTTCTCAAAAGGTTTTTTGCTCCTGGATAGCCAGGAGAAATGACAACCAGCATTAGCATTACAAAATACACACACACACAGAGCAGTGCAGGAGAAACACATGAAAACATAAGGGCGTCTTGAGTTTTACCAATTTTGTACAGTAATATAAAATAAATTAGTACAGGTCTAAGACTGAGTGCATATTTACGTATTCCTGAAACTAAGTTCTTGCATACTTAGTACCACACATTTGATACAGGAGCATGGTTCCCTATAAACAACAGTATAACATAAAATCAGAAAATTATTATGATGTAGACTGTAGAGTACAACTTAAATGCAACTATGATCAGTCAAGTCCCAGGGTAAAAAAAAAGGTGATGTTTTAAACAGCAGTTCCACTATAAAATTACTGAACAAAAGTGAAGAAGGTTCATGATAGCTACAGAAAAGAGTTGTGATCTAAACACAAATTTCAAAAAGATGATTAACAGTTTAACAGCAAGTATAAAGAGCAAAAAGTCTGTAACACAGCAATCATTGGATGTTTGCCCCTTATCTAGCTAATGATTGCAGAATATCCACAACATCTGGTCAAAAGACTTGTGCAACTTATCATTTTCATTTATATATTCACATAGGATCATAAATATATTCACAAGTAAAAGAGATATAAACGACATATTTAACAATCAACTTCCTAAAGCATTATACAAAACCTTCATTTCTGATAGATGATAGCATCACAAGTTTTTGACACACACATTAGCTTTAGCATACCACAGAATGTATACCTGATCCTCCTGCATAGACCCAGATATCGATCCAATAGCCCAGCATAAAGTGTTCAAGTTATTCCAGGACCAATCCTCCCCGCTCAATTGTTTATTTAACTTCTTTAACATCTAAAATAAAAGAGAAAAGAATTATAATCTAACGAAACTTTCCCTTCGTCAACTTGCTTTGATAATAAATACTTCAAATGATACAAAAGTACAGGGAAAAAAAGCCAAAACAATAGTCATACAGAAAACCATCAGGTTAAAAGATACCTGCTGTTCAGTGTCTTCATGATCAAGATGTGCCAAGTATATCAACGTTTCCTTCATGATCTGCAAGTACCATAAATCAGCATGGCATATTGGACAAGAAACTGCAATTATAACATATGAAAAGAAAATTACATTTTTCACTTAAAAAGTCTGCATGTCGTTCATCATTTAAATCTGGTTACTAGAGAAAAGCATGTCATAACCACAAGCATCATGTTTTGTACAAACTATTGAGCTCATCAATGTTGGTTTTATCAGCCAAAAGTTTCATCGACGGCAGATTAAGCAACCATGCATCTTAGGGGAACATCTAAGGTGATGTAAAGTCAGGCAGCCTAGATGCTTGGTCCCAATTAAAACCCAAATTGTGTGGCTACATGTAATTTGTACAAGCAGTAACAGGCTAGTTCTTCCGACTTAATTCTGTGCACTCATATGTTTACACTTAATTCATGGTGGTTGCTTGATCCAAAATGAAACTATAGCTCTCAACATCATAATTATCAAGCATAATAACAAAGATGACACATTGACGAAACTTTAGGCACCAACCTCAATAAACCAGAAAACAAAACTAGAACTGCGAAACACAACAGAAAAACAAAGAAAACATCTTAATACGTCACATATCAGATATGAGAGCAGCATGCTGAGCAAAAAAAGAAATATGAAAAAGTAGTAAATGTTAATGTTCATAGATTAACACAAACCTTATACTGAACAAGAACATCATTGTCTTTCATAGTTTCACGAACAATGTTGCCATTTTCATCTTCAACAATCAAAACCTCTTCAGGCTTAGCCATCCGACATATCATGAGCATTCTTAGCTTTGACATTGGAATAGCGTAGAGTTGTCGCCGTTGTAGAAGCGACGAACCAAGGCCATCGACCATCCCAGAAACCAACGTATTCTATAGAATTGGCATAGCATAAGAACAAAAAAGGAAATCAGCTTGATCACAACAATAAAAACACAGAAGCGCTCAAATGCATGTGTTGCGATCAGATCAAAACAATTCTAACAAACAAAACAAGATGATATACAATGTGTTTTATCAACAAATATCTACCTGAAAGCCCATCATTCCCGCAGTTGCAGCCGGAGTATCCAAATTGTGGTGAGACTCGAAAAGCTCAAGTACTAATATGTTCCAATAGTCCAGACAGACCTTCCATCCAATAAATATAAACCGTAATCAGTGTAGATCAATCACAAATAATAATCTTTGAGAAACAAGAAAGAAATGTTACCTTGAAAACCTCTGTGTCATCAACATAGGAGATACTGATCAAATATTCAAGACCCAATAGCAATGCAGCTCTGTTCTCAGAAGTTGTCTCCAATATGCGGATATGAGACTGAACAAAAGGAGGATTACTCAAATTTATAGAAATTTATACGAACAGAAAGGATGATTCCTACCCCCAACCTTAAAATACATACCAGCACAAACATGGCCAAAGTTACACTTGAGCAGTAGATATGCAAGGTAAATATCAACAGAATTTTACGTGTCGATGAAGTAGATACTAGGTGCAGAGCATTTATAGCTACTGCCACTCTCACTCTTTAACGAAAAAGTTAAAACGTTAATCCCTACTTAGAACTATAAATAACTAAATATATTACTATACAAACTATATAAGATTTCATATATCCCAGAATAATTGCATACGGTTGTGGCTAAAATGAGGCAGAATGAAAGATACCTTATAAAATGAAGTGAAAAACAGTGCAAGATTTTGGATAAATGAGGCAGAATGAAAGATACCTTATAAAATGAAGTGAAAAACAGTGCAAGATTTTGGATAAATGCCTGTCAAAAAAAGAGAAGCATGAGTGAAAGATCAAGGTCAATATACACCCAAAAGAAGTAAGAGGCAAATAAATGTTGATTGCATCTGGACATAACTGAGACTTTATAAGAGATTATTAAGAGCAAGAAATTACATGATTGAAAATCCAACATAAAGAAAATATCAACAAAGAGACAGACAGCAATCATGTGGTTAGAAAAAGTTTACCTGCTCTTCACTCGAACCATTTGCATAAGCATCGGGTATATTTGTCCCAGGTGGTAGAATAGTCTAAACATCATAGAGCATATTAAAGGGGAAAATTAGAAAACGGGCATGAATCAGAAAACATAGCCAATAGCTAGAAACAGAGTAGAAAGAAGTTTTCAAAAGGGATTAGAAAACGGGCATACCTGCAGCTGTACCATAAAAATAGTGTACATTTTAACATATTGCATGTTATAAAAGTCACCAAACTGAAGAGCAGCAACCTGTAAGGACACGATACAAAATCAGAATAAATACTGGACAAACAGTGCCAACTTTGAGGCAGCTGTAGCAAAGTTGCAAAAGAAAAATGCAAGAAGCATGCAAATATAACAAATTCACATAAGGTATTTCTTATCATCAGATATTTTTTGTTGCCGGACTCGCAGAGCAGTCATGTAGTACTATAAAAATTAACAGATGACAATTGACCACTAGTAGAGCACAAAACCACAGATATGTACCTCTGTTAAACACTGGAGCGTGAGATTCCTATATGATGTCACGGGAAAGAATTTCAGGAGAGTCTCCAGCTATCATAGCAATAACAAGATGCAGATGAATGAGTTATAATTCAACTACACCTATAAGTTGCTACAAAGCGCTTTGTAAGTTTGCAGAAATAACAAACCAGTGGCGATTCAAATATATAGCCCAGAGGAATCCATGATAAGAAAGCATGAAGAGTTGCCAATGTGGCCCGTATAAGCTCTGTTCTTTGAGATGCCGAGAGCACATATAAGCACAACTCATGAACAAGTTGAAACTCGCTGTTCATAAACAAACTTACTGTAAGATCTCAATGGTCACATATGAACACAAATCCATAAATAAATAGATAAAATATTTGTGCACAAAGAAGTAACCCACATGCATATTTCACACTCACATAAAATATGTCTGTGAAAAATCTATTATGAGGTTCACACTGACCCTAGAACCCCAAAATGATGGCCGCATAACTTAAAATGATAGCATTTTACCTGTTTAATGACTGTTTCAGTTCTTTGATTTTCTGCTGAGTCATCTCTCCTCTTGAGAAATCAAAAACTTCTTCACTCAGGAGCTGGAATATAGTACTTGTATCAGAATAGCTACCAAGTTTTAACTGCTGCAAATTTGTAGGTAATTTCACATAAGAATACACAGATACCTTTAATATAGCCATGCAATTTTCACAGATTGTCTCACTAGTCTTAGCCGCTGATACAAGATCAGGAATGAAGCTTTTCCATCTAGCTGGCCACTCGTGCTTTAATATCTGTTCATTCAGCAAAATAGGCATGTAAAAACTGTAGTCAGTATAAAGTCTCATTATGTAATAGTTGAAGGTGGTTAAAAAAATAAAAGCAGCTTGATGTGAGACACATATAACATGTGAATTGGTAAGTAATTTGGTAAGTAATTACAGAAAAACATCATAGATATATGAAAGATTTCCAACAAGTTTAAAGGGGAAGAAGAAGGAAGTTCAGATACTAACACTTCAAAATAGTTCCGGAGATTACCTGAACTAAAATAATGTTCAGCTTGTTGACATATAACCTCTCCCGACGAAAAGAGGCTTCATCACTTGAAAGCTGACCAAATTTACAAACAGTGGCACAGAGAGGAAAAAATATATTAAGAACTTAGCAGTATAATAAAAATTGCAGGTGATAAATAAGTTCAATATGACAGGATAAAATATATACCTGTACAATAATATCAGATATATAGTTCTTCATCCCATCTCGTTGTTCAACAGGCAAAGCATTCCATCTATATTTGATAACACCTTCTAATACCTATGAAATGATTGCAAACTACGATTAAAGGGAGCAAACTAGAAAAGCACAAATGCATAGCATTGACATTATCTCCAAAACATGTCTAGCTAATATATAGACTTAACAACAGGAACTTAGAGATTCAGGAAGAAAAGACGAACATGGGGAGAAAGAATGCCTTCAATTTTTGCCAGTACAGGTCAGATCAAAAAGCAGGCGAGATGGTTAAAGTGTGTACATTTTAACTTTCTGAAACGTAACCTTGTTAACAATAAAGTATATAACCTAAATTAGCAAGAAGTGTATGATTTTTATTAGTACATGAAGGATTTAAAAACCTAATTCTAAGCAAACAATTAAACCAACTGTAATAATCTCACTGCAGGTGATTCCTCGTTTTGCATTTTTTGAAGGAAAAGAAATGGCCCAGTTCTGCAACAGGAGCTCTTATCTGTCATCAGTTATCATCCAGAAATGCCATAGAACACTTCAGTTCAAACTCTAGAAAACAAAATCGCAAAGTTTGTAATACGCTTAACTAGAAATATCTCCCAAATTACTACTTTGCAATGAGTCTTAAGAAATTATGTGGTGTCAAAATTCTTTCGTGTCACTGCAAATTAGTATCTAGATCTTATAACCCAAAAAGATATGACTGGATCAACCATAACAACTGATAACAAAATCGACATAGTGAATAGTGCAATCAGTTTATCTGAACAAATTGTTCTGAGATAACATACATTACAGCCTCACAAAAAAAAGAAACCAGTTGCTTCTACATTTAGAATTTTATGTTTAACCAAAGAAAATATATATCACGAATTGAGTTGTATTAAATGGCATGCAGAACCTCTCCAGTATGCAGATAGAAACTTAGAAGGGAACTAATAGGCTAACAATAGCATATCAAAGTAATAACATAACTATCAATTAGCTACTTGATGGAGACAAAAGATTCTCCAATTCAGAAGCATATAAGGACCTCACTAACCTGAAGAGTAAAAAACTTAGTGTTCAAGTTCTGTGAGTTTTGTAGAATATGGACTGCTTGCAACCATGTATCAGGGTTGCTTTGCAATTCCCGCAATATCTGGTCTGCTGCTGCTCTCTGCCAACAATAAAGAGGAAGCACAATTGAGACCTCAAAAAGAAATGAATAACAATGAAAACACAACAGTATATTGCAAGAACATCTTCTGACACGAATAGTAACAAATAAAAGAAAATCCAACAATGGACTACCCATTTACCCTCACACTTTTGCAATGTCAACTTAATCAATCAAAAACTCAGTTTACCCAATATCAAACCAAAATATATTAGAATACTCTCGCACTAAAAGCAACTAACGCTGAATCATGCAAAAGCCGATTCTATCTCTAATCTAGACTTAAAGAAGGTGTAAAGAACCTGGAGGTAGAAAAAAGGGCAAGAGAAGCGAAACAAAGTGATTCCACCTAAACTTTCTCTCTCACCCTTCGATCTCGAGGTTAAGGGTCTAGGTTTTTTACTCTCTCTCCCTAAAATTCCCTCTTTCCTTCTTTTTTTCTCAACAAAATCCCCTCTTTCCCTCTCTTCAAGTATCTACCAATGTAATCAAACAAAATCAACTAATGCCGAATCATCCAAGATGCAATTTTTATCTCCGAAATAGAGAGAAACTGAGTAAACGAAACAAAGTGATTTCACCTCCTCTTTGGATCCAGTCCCGTAAAACGCAGCCACCGTCGCATCAAGAAGCGGAACATCGATCGGCTTGCTCAGATCCCTAAGCTTCTCCGCCATGGCCGACCAAACCTCAGTCACGAAACCCTAGCAACAGTGGAGATTCTCGATGTAGAGCAAGGCTCTCGAAACCCTAGCTCTTCGATTTCGAGGGGGCGAGGGTTTAGGTTTTCTACTCTCTCTCTCTCTCTCTAAAATTTTCTCTTTTCCCTCTCTTTTCGCTTTTTCTCTCTAGAAATTTCGGTGGTCGCGAAACAAATTAGGATTTGGCGATGAAATTAATTAGGGAGAGGATTTTATATACAAGGAAGGAATTTTGAGGGGTTTAACCCTCGTTAAATAGTACTTGAGTTGTCCACTAATTACGGAACTACCACCGACTTGATATATTCACTCCCCCATTGATTCTCTATTTTGTCCCAGCAGGTTTCGTGACTGGGAAAACGTGGAGTGGATGTTTTCAAATAGGGAGTGATGTTAGTGATCCGGCGTCAAACTTACGCGACGATGAAAATAATAAATTTATTATTTGAAATATATATATATAATTTCGATAATTGCACGGATTGGTGTACTGGGCAGGATGGAATATTGCCATATCGGTATTACGTGTGCGCTGGTAGAGTGAATTAGTGTGATTTTACTTGTTTTAGGGGCTGTTTGTTTGCTAAAAAAAAGGAAATCAAAAAATTAGGAAACCTATTTCTAAGAAAAGTTATTTTGAGATTGTTTGGTTGGCTAAAAAAAAAGGAGGAAATCAAATATGAGAGATGAGTTGTCATATTATTATTGGATGATGTGGGTGATTTTTTAAGAAATTTTTTTTAAGACTGTTTGGTTGGCTAAATAAAATAAAAAAATAAATTATAAGAAACATATTTCATGTAATAGGTTCTTTTTTGTGTTTGGTTCATTCATAATAACTCCCCCTTTGTCATTAGCAAAAAGAAATAAACATAATTCTAGTTAAATTTTTCTTTTCCCGGGTACCTTAATAAAAATATTAAGCACTTTGGTACCCTTTTATATTATAACATTAGGATTAACCCTTAGGAATCCAAATCCACTTGGAATTTGATTTCCATTTATTAAAATAAGTGTAATTCTTTGAATTGCAAACTTCATACATAGAAGATGAAATATAATCATTCCTATCATGAATATTCAAATTCTTAGGAATCCATATATACTTATTTTGTTTAGCATGAATATTCTTATTATTATTCTTCAAAACATAATCATTCTTTGTAAAATACTTAGGAACAAATCCAATGCCAAAATAATTGTTTGAAGATTTTTGAAATGAGAGCAGATTATTCAAATTCTCTTTACTTTTATTGAATTTACTAACATTCAAACATATATAATCATATTTTAATTTAATAGATGAAATATCTTTATCTAAAATATTAATGCGAATTTTTAAATCATTACATTATGATTTTAGATAAACATTCTCATTAGTCAAAATATGATTTTCTTTAAGTAATGATTTATTTTCCTCTTTCAATTCAATTACTTGAGAATTAGAAATAGTAGAAGAATTAAAATAAGAAATTTCTTCAAGTGATCTTTTATTTTCACCTTTAAGAAATTTATGTGAAGTCTTTAATCTCAAAAAAGTTTCATACAATTCATTAAAAGCATCTAAAAGCTCTTCATTGTCACTTACTTTATCTTGTGCCATAAAACACATATGGGCGCTTTTCTTTTCTTCGATTTCTTCATCCGAAGACGAATCACCACCATCATCTCATGTAGCCGCCAAAGCCTTCAGTTTTTTTGTTGAATTTTGTAGACTTTGATTTTGATTTTAGAAGGGGACAATCATTCTTCATATGTCCTGGCTTATTGCAACCATAACAAATAAAATTAGACAATCATTCTTCATATGTCCTGGCTTATTGCAACCATAACAAATAAAATTATTGTTAGTATCTTTAACCTTACTTGTACCTTCATGAGTTACCTCGCAACCATAACAAATAAAATTATTGTTAGTATCTTTAACCTTACTTGTACCTTCATGAGTTACCTCGAGTGTGCGTCAAATATAATACACGGATGTGGCCGTTGACACTCTATTGAACTCATTCTTGTCAAGAGCACAAAATAAGACATTCATTGCTTTAGAATCCAAGTTTGCATTGTTCCTTTAAGATGTAGTCCATTCCGTGAAAGGAGTGGTTGCCTTCTCATATTTTGTTTCCACAATGTTCCAAAGTTTGTAGCCCATTGATTGGAGATAGATTTTCATCCGATACTTCCAATAGTTGTAATTTAGTCCATCAAACATTGGTGGATGATTTGTAAAATATCCTTCCTTAAATTTTGAATTTGAATTGGATGTTGATGCCATTTCTTCAACATTGCTCTGATACCAAATGTAGGATCTGATTTTGCTTATGTATACCGAGTGTAGGATCGTGACCCTTAAAAATAAAGTGTGCTCTTATAAAAATATGCGGAAGCTTTACACTTAAACACTAGAGGATAAGTTTGCAAAGTAGATTATAAATTATAAAGAAAGAATGGTAATCTCAGAAAATAAACATCACAGACACAAGCATGTATACTGGTTCCACCTCCCTGGTGTACATCCAGTCTCCAAGCAAATCCCACTTGAGAGTTTTTACTATGATTTTAAAACATTACAAAATCAAAAGCAAACTTGACCAATTTGCAAGACCATGCAAAATTACAAACCTAATTGACAAAATCATGCCAATGGTAAACCGACCTCTAGACCAAGAGATCAACCCCTCTCATAAACCAAGAAAACATTGCTTTGAAGCAATGTACAATTCCAATCCTATAAGCCTTGATATGGATGTGAATGTGTAACAGTGGCTTATCAATCTTTTTTAACTCTATGAATATTGCCTAAACAAGTTCTAAGAATGATAGGAACAAATGCAATATCAGAAACTCTCTTTTATGGAAAATCAGATTGAAAAACTAAAAGGTTAGAGAGTTAATTTGCACGATATGTGAATGTTACAAGTGCAAAACTTGGTGCTTATTTTCTGATGTTTAAACCTATTTATAGCATCTAAAATGACATAATTTTAAACCCAATTAAAGTCCACAAAACGGCTATAAACAGACACTTATTCAAAACCTAAAATCTAAAAAAACTGTATCTGTAGTCGACTACAAGTTATAGTAATCGACTACACTGAGTCTAAACAGACTCTGTGAAGTCAGAAAATTGCTTAGTAGTCGACTACAATGCATAGTAGTCGACTACACTATAAGCTCACAGATTCTAGAATTTTATTTTTAGTATTTTTGCTGTAACTTTCTCATCCGACATCAAAATGAAGTGATTTAAGATTTGTTGGAAAGATATTGAAGAGACCTACAACTTTGGTCTTTTGAGTTTTTTCAGATTCTAATTACTAAGAGATATAAATAAAATATTTTAAGACTCACTCAATATCTATAAACTCTAATGGCTAACATAGGGGGTTTCTATTATTAACCAACACACTAAGTATGTGTTAGTGTATTTTAACACTATGTGTGTGCATGTGTGTGAGTGATCAAGGCTTGTACAAATTTCTAAGTAAATAAAATATAAAATTACATTTTGACAATAAAGTATATCTTATTTTTTGCTTTATTTTGCCTTGAACTCATCTATGTCTTGAGTATCTCTTTGAATGTAATTGTTGATATAGCTCTGATACTGCAAAACAAATGTTAGCACATAATACACACAACATATAATATTTGTTATCATCAACATGAACTAATATTGGGGTCAAAATTCCTAACAACCTTTGCATCCCTAGCCGAAAGCCATCCTTATGGGTCTTGGGCCGGTTGGTGACTATGAATGTGAACCAGACTGAACCTCACCTCCACTTTCAAATAATGGGGGAGTTCAGGCTTGTCACTGGCCTTCCTGACTCGTACAAGGACTGGAAGGAGAAGTTCGTCTTTGTCGTAAGGGATGACCTAGAGTTAGGCTGCTCGAACTAGCCTAAAATAAAGAGGGAGGCGCTCATGGAGGGTGACTTGCTTGAAGCTGAGAGGGATGCGCTCGATTAGATCAATGCGCATGCTGGCTCTAGTCGAGTCAACCATCTACTTGACAACTCGGTCTTGTGGGTTGCCTATGTGTCGATCGTGCTTTCTTCTGCCAAGGACCATATAGAGGGCTTCAGACCTTATCTTAGTGATAGCTGAAACGACGATGGCGTCGACTGCTCTTTTGGCTGATCCCCAGGAGGGGCCGTTTGCTAGGCCCAAGAAGCGTCTCAGCCAGTACTTCCCCCCAGTGGAGGACGAGACGGTCGAGGGGGATCCTTCTACTGCCCTCGTCCATAGACGTAGGAGGAGGCCACATAGGGAAGATGGGGAATAGGAACCTCGAGCGGTGACTGAGATGACCGAGACCGACGTCATCCATCTAGACGAATCGGCTCTGGAAGAACCAGTCAAGACTCCTCAGAAGGAGGGACCGAGGCTAGAGCTCCTACTGTGGGAGGGTCATCCGTCCGTCGTGGCGAGTCGACTCGTCGGGGGAAGGAGTCGGTCGAGGAGGAGACGACACCTCCCGCAGAGCTGGAATATCCCTTTCTTCACCGCGTCACTGAGATCAGAGAAGAAGAATGGGAGATGATGAGTGAGTACCTCATCGGGACTTCGGAGGAAGGCCCTCGATATGTGCGGGAGCCTGACCCAGTGCACCACCACGAGCCTTCTCACCATCTCTGCGTCAGGGGGATGGTCCTCGATTCTTGCCAGACTCAGCCGAGGGTGGTCGAGCATTTCTGGCTCCCTCGGGACAAGGAGTTTTTACAGGGGGTTCCTGATGTCAGTCTCCACCTAAGCCTTCACAGCTACTTGGTTCGAGGCGCTTTGGTGGAGTCGGAGATATATGGTCGGATGGAGTAGGTCCGGATTGAGTATGTCAAGCTTCTAGGGGAGGTTCTCCCTAAGGGCCGACAGAGGGGTCGACTCGGAATGGGCTGCGGAGACGTCAGCCCTAAGTGCTTTCGAGATTGATGGGCTCAAGCGGAAGCTGGAGGAGAGCAATAGGATGGCCAAGAGGGTGGATGGGGCTCTCCGGGAGAGGGACCGCACTATGGTGCAGGTGGAGGTCGAGAAGCAAGCGGCGTTGTATGCGAGACGTTAGTTGGACGAGAAGCATGCAGAGTTCGTCAAGCTTATAGGGGAGGTCGCCCACTTGTAGGAGTCTCTAGCGGTGGCCCAAAGTCGTAATGCCTATCTTGAGTCGAAGCCTCACCGCCAGGAGATCATTGAGGGGTATCACCAAAGCTTAACTGGAAAAACTAAAGTGGCGATCGCCTGCAAGGCCGGGTACGACTATCTGTCGGCGCAGCTTCTGGCTGAGATGAGGAAAAACTGAAGCGACTGACTAAAAAGGTGGTACTTGTTGCCATACCTACTAGATTGACCTTATAAGCACTTGCACTCGGCCTATTACTCCAGCCGACAACTTGCATACCCGACTAGAAAGATGGTGTTTGCCGGCGTCCAACCAGACGATTGATGAGGCAATAGTTTTCTCGAACCCCTCGCCTATAGCCACCTACCCTCGCATTAACTCTCTGACAAAATCAATATTGTTATAGCCGCATAGTCTTTATAACTCATCGGACCCAGTCAGCTCCAAGCACCTGCTGTCCTCCCTATATTGAATGATTGGATGACTCACCCTCTTTAGCGGACAACACCTGTAAGACATTTGCCAACTCAGCTGCCTATCTAGACTAGGTCCAAGTTACATTTTGCCCTTCCGAACTGCTATAAAAGGAAGCTGCACTGCATGGTTAACTTCTTTTGTTTTCATATAACTTTGAATTCCTCTTCTTCACTTCCTATTTTCCCACTCAAGTTTATACACTAACTTAATCGTCGGAGGAATAACCGGAGAACCCAACTCTTACCTGTCACGAACTTTTTATATGCATGGGAGAACAGCAGGCTCCAGAACCAAACATTTGAAGAAGCTTAGGGACCCTAACCCAACACTAATCCCTAAACAAACCACCTGTTCGATAACTTACATCAACGCAAATGGTGCTACGGTAGGGATGTGAATGACCTGACCTCCTTCTATTTATTGTTTGCACACAATGCTTATTATTTACATTGTGATTTAATTTTTTTAATAAACATTTTTACGGTTGAATCAAGACGTCATTGTGCTAGGAAGGTTGATTTGTTGTAATATATCTTTTGGATTATTAAAATATATAATGATCATTTTCATCACATCATGAGAAACCCTTTTTTGAACCGGCCTAAAAAATTTTCATGCAATAAGAACAAATCAATTTGTTAGCTAAGATATTTCTTATGTTAAAAAAATAGAACAATTCAATGACAACTAATATTTCAAGATGGATGCGCTTTCAATGTCGACGTGACTGAAAATTAATTTAATTTGTTTTTCAATAAATTTTTATTTGCTTATTTATTTAAATTGTATTTACATTCTAAGTTACCCAATAAAAATTGTGATTCTTGAATAAAAATTTGTATTCCAAGAGGGTCTTTTCGTAAATTTTCATCACCACAGCTGGCACGTGCACCAGCCGGGCTCTCGTCCCCCTCAAGATTCGGGCTGCAATCCAATTTACTTTTACCCGAGAACATATTTTTTCCTTTCCTTAATAAACAGTGAGGGGCAAAGAACGAAGTTTTAGAGATCTAGGGTTTCTGGATTTTCGCCAAATTCGTTCCTTTTAAATGTAAGTTCTTCCCTTTTTTGAATTCGATGAGAAATTTTAATGTTTCGTTCTTCATTATTCCATTCGAAAGATTAGATTTTTAGGTCTGGGGACTGGCCTTTCCTCTTCATCTGGGCAAAGATTGGGGCTTTTTGCTCGTAGTTTGAAGCTGTCATTTTGATGATTCCCTTTTGTTTAGGTGAATGGAGATCTCTACGCGAAATGTTTGCTACTTTGATTAGTTTCTGGATAGTACATAGAACGACATAGTGCTGAGAGGTTCACATTTGAAATGTTTTTTGTTTGAGGGCATCTTGATGTTTCTCACATAATTTATTCTTAATAACTGTAGTTATCGGTAATCGAAGCTAATAACTTATGATAGTTTTTGTTACACCTTAAGATTAAACGCGGTCACATATGTTGTTCCCTAATTATGTTTATAATTTATACATTGGTAGGAGATAAACTCAGGTTATTTTTCTTAAGTGTGGATAGTTTGTTAGTGGTAGGAGATGGACTGCTGATGTACTACTTGAAACATATTGCAGTTCTAAACTTCAACCGAGAATTGATCGTATAATCTGTTGTAGGTATGATAACATTGTATCTTATGTCGGGGTTAAAAGGAGTACTGAATGTTATCTGTGGTTAAAGTCGGTGTTGAATAGGATTTATTAAGTAGGATTCATTGATTCGTGACATAATCAGTTACTCTTTTTTGATGTGAGGTACGGGAAATTGATTTTAGAAAATTAGACATGTATAATTGTTTTTCTTAACTTGTTGGTTTATGTGCTGCATGTAACATAATTTTACAATTTTCACTTTTCTTCTTAAGGTACTTGCTCATTCACAGTCAACTTTTGTAAATATTTATTTAGTTAGCTCTGGCACCCTTTGTTGTCAGTATCTTTTTCGATGTATCTAATTACTGTTATTATTATTATTATTTATAGATAATTTGTTCTAAAGGTTGATAAATGGCTACTCGTTCATACTGCTGTGACCTAATGTTGGTGTATTTACGGTGTACACTGTAGCTTAAAAGTAAATCTTCTCAACACAATACTCTGAATATGGCCAGACTCAATTGGCACGTTGCATATTCATGCTTCACACTATCTACCTTTTATAGAGAATAGGAATTTTGGGCTGATTTAGGTGGACTTTAGATAATCAAGACTGCGTATTTGTGCACCAGATTCAGTGCACCAGTAGACGAGATGCGACATCTAAGGCATTCTTTAGATTACATAATGAGAACAGTCTGCTTTAGACTATGAAGAAACAGTCTTATCCAGATTGCATAATGAAACTGGGACTGACACTGCATATGATGAATGCAACAAGCATAAACCCCTCACCTGATCTGCGTCATAATGACCTTTATGAGAAGGCATGGTTTCTCAAGATTTGACATCTACTCCTTTTCAGTTTTGGGGACGGGTCCAGAATATTCTCACCACATTCTAATAATTAATGGACAACCTCCTTTGTAGAACATTTCTCCATATAAATTTTCAGGGATTAATTCATCCGCTAGTTTCTTAGAGATGTGGCAGATATAAAGAATCATTCATTGATATCAATAACTGGTTCGTAGAACATTCGTGAACAATGTCATACTTGTAGGACTCAAATTGGCTAATTGTTCTTGCTGCAATTTTATCTTATTATTCAAATTCCTTTTCAACTGAGCCTCTGTATGTATTTTCACAAATTGCAAACTTGGGCCCAGCAAAACTATTCTCATGCAACTTAATATCTTATGTTAAACGTCCATATTTGGTTTCTGCAGGTACTGGTCAACAACTGCTTACTTCGACAAGTAGTGTCGCCCCAATATCACACTATGGCTCAACAAAATGAACCGAACCAGACCCTTGACCCTGCTACTGCTCCTGTAAAGCGCAAACGCGGTCGCCCTCGTAAAGAGGATGTCCCAGGCCCAGCAATTGAAGCCGGTGGAAGAACACAAAGGCGAAGACGTAACCAACAACCTGATACAGGTCCAGGTCTAGTAGGACAGCCAGTTTCTGGTGTTCTTGATGGAGTATTTGATGCGGGATTTCTGTTAACAGTTAGAGTGGGAGACAATGGACCTCTTTTAAAAGGAATGGTGTTTGATTCAAGGCTCTCTGTTCCTGTTACAGCTGCTAATGATGTTGCTCCTCACATAAAGATGTCAAAGAGAGATGAAATTCCAATTCCTGTGCTCACTTGTGGAAAATAAAGTAATGCTCAATGATGACATTCAAGGGTCCGCTTTGAGGTCTAAAGGTTCTGAAGCTGTTATCTCGGGAGAACAGACTGCTTTGAAAGAAGCAGCTCCAGAGACTGTTCAAGTTCCAGAAAATCGAAAGCAAGTGTTGACAGGTAAAATTTTGAAATATCAAGATCAAATGCATTATCATGATATAAAAATATATGGAATTTCCTTTAGGTGAATAATCTCCTGATTGTTCTTTGGTCATAAGTTATTTGATAAATTCAGACATTATTCAAGAATATTTCATCCTTCTTTATGGGGCATCGGCAATTTATCTTACCGATAGTACTTGTTATTTCTTGTTACTTGTTTTTATACTGTGACAACTTGCTGCTATTATCTCATTAGTACCAGAAAATTTGTGAACCTTAAGATTTGACATCTAGCAATTTAAAGCATTCCTCTTTCAAATACATGGTTTTATCTTTTTTAACACATTAATGATTTATAAGTGACTGCAGGTGTGCTGAACCTGAACTCCACAAGCAAGGCATCTGAGGTCAACGAAACTTCAAGTGAACCAAATCTGAAGCAGGACTCTACAAGTAAAACATCCGAAGGTAGTGAAACTGCAGCGGAACCGAGTCTAATTTCATGTAATGAAGCTGCAGGTGAACCTAAACTGGAAACTACTAACCAGACAAACCCCATTAATGAAACCCAAGCTCAGCCAAAACCGAGTTCTACAAGTCAGCCAATCCCGGTTAGTGAAACCCCAAGTGAGTTGAAACCAGACCCTACAGGCCAGCCAACCACAGTTAATGAAACCCCAAGTGAGCTGAAACAGGGTTCGATGGACCAGGCAACCCCAGTCAATGAAACTGTAGGAGAGCTGAAGCTCGACTCATCAAGCCAGATATCACCTGAGCCTCGATCTGACCTGGGTAGCGATAAGGCAGAAGCTCAAAATGATTCTGATCAGATCAAGTTCAGTGCTTCAGCAGCAGCAGCAGCAGCAGCAGCAGCAACCCAAGGTTTGATATCTCAGGAAGTTGAAACCAATCCAGTAGGCAATGAGGGAAGCCCAGTGCCATTTAGCGGCGGGTTTTAGGAAATTTAGGTAGTGGCCATGGAAAGGCTTTATTTTGTGTCGCGTGGCCTTTTTTGAGATGTAGTAAATGTTTTCAGCTGTCTAATATTTTGGCGCTTGATGTAACCTCACAGGTTCAGTTAACGTCGTTGTAGTTTACTTTTCTTATGTTAAAAGTAGGCAGTCTTGTTAACATGTTGGTCGACATCAATAATATTTTCACCTTTTAGTTGCTGCAACTAGTGTTCGACTATGTAAGTTTTTTGCTGCAATCTGCTTGAAGGATTGGTGAGTTTGCACATGAGAAGAGGTGGAATGTGGTGATATTTCGAGCCTTGAATCAAGTCATCGAGATTTGTGATGTTTCATGGAATCAAGCTATACGCACATCACTAAAGATTTCGGTTATTACTCAAGCACATCACTAAAGATTTCGTTTATTACTCAAGCATCGTTGCTCGCTAGAAGACGTCGAAAGCCTATAAAAGAATGACAAAGGGAGTGAAGCTTGATGAAAAGAATAGTATTCGCAATTTAAACATTAGCTCTTTAATTATTGAATTCATAAGAAATCATACAAATATCGTCACTTACATGTTTTTAAATGAACATTATCCTAACCAAATAAGAAACAAATTGAAAAAAATTCGGAGAAATAAAAAGTTGATGAGCCACATAAATTCTCACGTCATCTTTTATAAACCTCTTCAAGCACAAGTACAATTATCAAGACAAGACCACATACATGTTTATTCAAGCAAAGAAATCTTTCCTACCCTTTCACACCAAGCAAAAAAAAAAAAAAAAAAAGAGTAAGCAATCACAAAAAAAAAAAAAAAAAAAAAAGAGTAAGCAATCAGTTGTTCACCGCGGCAAGATTCAAACTTGAGATTCATAACTATAGCTATATAATCTGCAGCCCAATTTTTCATTTCGGTTATTCATTGCACCAATAGGTCCACAATGAAGTCTATCCATACAAAATATCTTATAATAATCAATAGAAACATCTGAATTCAAATAAGATCAAAGCTTGGAACACTTCACTTGATCAAAAAGGTGAAGTCTCCTGAGTTTTATATCTGAATCAAAAATCCCCGTAGAAGCCATTATTTACTCTGGATCAAGTTCACTGTAACTTGCTGCCAAAACAACTGCTAGCAGGGACCAGAAGGGGCCTAACAGGAGGGAACGATTGAGATAACGGAATGTGGCCATGCACTGTGAGCGGCTGGAGCCGTTACAAGCGGTGGGGCCAAGCTGAGCTGAAAAGGAGCAGCTAAAGCACCTGAAATTAAAAATAAAAATTGTGTCAGTAAAATTTGGAAGTAGTTATTATGTCAGTTAACCCAGGACAATGAGAAATGCATTGGTCGGACGATGAAATCCTCAGACGAATACATTTTCCAACAGAAACTTCAGTCATTTTCTGTTGACTTTAAGGAATTGCTCTTGCTTCATGATGGCAAGGTCCTAAAGTCACAATAGTCAGTTACTCAATTGTCAAGAGATTATCAAAAATTCCTGTGAACATTTCCAAATATGTTTGTAGTTAAGCTGAATGGCAAGCGTTTGACAATAGATCTTCATTTGATAGGATGGAGACGTTTTTATTCTCGTGGGGAAGATGATGCTGATGCAAATTGCCCAATTAAGAACCACATTTTGGATTTTGGTCCTCTATCAATACTTTAATATAAATGGGCGGGTTCCATTAGGCTCCATATCTGTATTGAGAGACAACTTTCCTCATGCCATTTTGCACATTAAACAGGTTAAATTACAGATCCAGAGATTTTATGTTGCTCATATAAAAAAATGCATAATCCTTGTTGCAAACTAGATGACAGTTCATTTTATTGAAAATTAATTGTTACTCAATATGTAGCTTGTAAAGTGGCAGCAGCAGCTCAGGTGTTTGAGGCTTCATATACACGCATCAAATAAGTACAAAATAGAATTTCAGATGGCAGGAAATATTTGGTTAATTTGCTCTTCCAGATGTACACAATTTTATCAGCAAGATCGTGGTGATCGAAGAGGTGACAAGATTAACTAAGACAATCCGGTAGTAGCTAGGATCTTACGATTTGATTCAAAAAATTAAAAAAAATCATGTTCACATAATCATTTGAAAGGAATTAATAAACACCCCCCATTAACATGGTGGTAGGGAAAAAAAATAACAAAGCAAACAGCATATAATCATGCCTTCATGAACATCTTACCTTGAATCTTTGGCAGATTGGTTTGACATGGGTTCAACAGTGGGTATGGTGATCCTTGTGACAAAACCGGTGCTCCTTGGGTTACATCCTGCAGTTAAAAGGCAATTAAAACTGGTAACAATATAACAGAGGAGTTGGGAGAAAACATAATGGAAGAGGCATTGCAAATGAAGATCTACTCATCTGTGCCACATGCTACCATCCTATTTAATTCATTACAAAGCACAAATAATATGTTCAAAATTTAACTCTTCTCTAAACTTCTATTTTCTTTACCCAATTCACATTGATTACTTTCTGACCCGAGCAGTTTATTCGCATGAGGTAATATGTAAAACATGCTTAACATGTTCCAGTACTCATTTCTAATCTAAATTGAAATGGACATCTCGATATCATAAACAAAACAATCACTTTGGCATGTCACACATGAGCATCAACAGATACACATCTTATAGCAAAGTTCATTTCTTACTTGAGCAACAGGATGCAAATACACCAGCTGACCTGTCCTCCCAATCATAACCTGAAAAAAGTAGGCTGTTAATAACGTATCAGGCTACTAGCATTGCTGCACGTGCATATGCATGTGCAAGAAGTATAGGATTTCATGAATAGTTGTATTTTTCTCTCTTAAGTCTAAACTTTATCCAATGTATTTTCGAGAAAATTTTATTGGAATTTAACTCTACCATGTACTCAGAGTATTTCAATTTTATTTGTTTGAAAGATAAAAAGGTTTTTCTTAATAGATTTTACTGTAAATTAATTAAAACGACTATTTAGTAATAATTGAGGTTTCTAATAGTGCCTTTTAAAAAAAATACTAAATCATAGATCTCAAAAAGTATCATATATATTCAATAGGTTTATAATAGTACCCTTTTTAAAAAAAATATTCCATCATAGATCTCAAAAATTATCATATATATTCAATTTCAAAAATTGTGGTTGCAGTAAAAAGTTTATTTCATAATTTTTGGAACAACTTCATGGTGATTTTTTAAATCAAATTATTATATTTTGTTATAACTCACTCCATTCAAATCTTATCTTAAAATTAATTGAGAAAGACAGTGAGCATTTAATGCAAATGGACAAATGTTATTCAAACCCATGTATTTCTATTATAGTACAATATAGATTTTGCACCGAGTAATAAAAATGTTTTCAAAGTATTGCATGATGGAAGAGATACCAAAGATAAGTCAACAGTTAGAAGTTACCATTTGTGATGTTGGCTGCATATATGTTGGTAGTGCTTGAACAGGATGATGTTGCCCACTCAATCTAACTGGTTGCTGCCAAGCATTAGCATGTCCAAGGACCTACCAACAAAAGAAAATATAACTAAGAACTCATAAATACGTGTTAACCAGTTGCTGCTAGTCCTCCCCTTTAAGCATCTGAGGAAGCACACAAATGAATATCAACAGCTAAAGCACGCAAAAAGAGATCATGAAAGCTTGATTATAACCATGCTAAACATACGCACAGGTCGAGAATATTGAACAGGGGCTGCACCATGCCCAGTGACTAAGCCATCATACTGGACCAACTTTGCAGGAGTTGAGCGACTAGCAAAGGAGTTATTTTGAACTCCGGATTGTACAGCAGCGATTGGGATTGCAGGAGGGTAACTTGTTATATAGCCTGCATTTGTATTGGTTGGTACAGATGTAGGTGACAATCTAGCATTAGCAGACATCGGAGAGAAAACTTTTGCTCCAGGGTTGAGTTTGAATTCCTGCATATTATTAGCATATGCATTATGTAATGCGTACAAAGAAGAAACAGAGGTAGGAAGGTTATGATGGTAGGATTTATATGCTACTATATATGATCAGTTGATCCCAAAGGCACATTGCCTTTGATTTATGCTACTCTTAACAGCATAGTCTCCCGCCATGGAATTTTAAGAAAATGGTTCTCACCTTTGTTGGTTTGCAAGATGAGTTGTTTTGGGAATATGACACGTTAGGCGATGTTGAAAGACCGGTGCATGAAGAGGTTCTACTATTTGAAACCGAAGAAGAATGACGGCAAACAGCTGAAGCTTGGGTATCTAGTGAGGGATAATTCCTTGAATTGGTAGATATGCTCTCCGGCTGATAATCTGGCTTGCTGGGCTCATTTGATGCATTCGCAGTATGAGTATCATCAACAAAGTCCAGCTGAAGAGAATCAACATCTGCTTAACGCAAAAGATATGCAAGAAATTTTAGCTTTATCAAAAGAGTAAATGTGTTCTGACTACACAAGCAAGAAATGAAGTTCTCCAGATGCAAATTGACTTACTGCTAGGAGGCATAGGATGAACTTTACATTCTATCTGCAGAAAGCACAGAATCAGTTGAATAAATGAAGCTACAACATAAGTGTCCAATCATCTGGATGAGAACCATAATAAAATATTTATTCAGATAATAAATCAAGTTATGCTTGATAGACATACTTGCTTTGTTTCAGAAGCCTCATCAACATGGTTGCAAGAAGTTCCTTCTCCCTTTGGCATATCATCCCCAACCTGACTGCCAGCAGAGTAAAGAGGAAATAAGTTATCAAAAAGCATAACTTATTGAAAGTCACATCTCTTAATTCATTATAGACTGATACCATATTAAGAAAAAAGATTCAATACCCTGAGGGAGAACTATCAGAAGATACTGACTGCTCTGATGCTTTTTCTGAAACTGAGATGGTTCCAGATGCAATTGCATCAGACGCAGCACTAGTAGACATCCCCTCTGCTGGAAGTAGAAAATCCTGGAAATTAAAAGCACAACATGATAAGGTAATTTTAAGAAAACATTCGAATGTGCACAATATCTCTATATTCCAATGTGCACAATGTCTCTGAATTACCTTCACAACAACTTGAACGAGGTCAACTAAAAACACAACAAGGGTGTCTACAGTAGACCCTACTGGAAAATTTCTTTCATCCTTTCCTTTCCCAATCTTTCTTGCTTTCTTCAAGACAATACCTATCATTACGAAAAAAATGAAGTTCCGAACTATATCATAGTTTTAAATCATCACATGTGTCACAATCCAGTTACATGTTTTCCGGTCATCATAAATAAGCAACAACAGACATGAAAAAAACCAAAGGATTTGCGAAAATTCACAGCAATAGAGATCAATTAAACAATGCACAAAGCATGAAATTAACCCAAAAAAGGGGGAGGGGGTGTTGTGGTGTTGTTTAAATATGTAGACGTTGGCCTGTATCACATAAAACTAATCTGGTTAGATTTCCGTTCAAATTTTGGGCTTGCGCCTGTATTGAGCCTTAATTAGTCACATAAAACTAATCTGGTTAGATTTCCGTTCAAATTTTGGGCTTGCGCCTGTATTGAGCCTTAATTAGCCCCAAGTATGCCGTGAATAAAAATGGCCGTTCAAATTTTGGGCTTGCGCCTGTATTGAGCCTTAATTAGCCCCAAGTATGCCGTGAATAAAAATGGGTTATCAAATGACCACATGAAATTGGATGCCCAACTGCTAGGTGATGGAGCTAACAAACAAAATGATGCAAATGAATACATAATGTTGCAAATAACCAATTCAAGGCAAGGGAATCATTAAAAAAAAAAGAACATACAATGCATTGAATTCATACTGCAATCGGTGAAATCACATTCAACACAGCAATCATAATAATGGAATTTCCCAATTGACAAAAACCCATTTGAGATCTGGATCCAATAACCAAAACCCATTTCCGAAAAAGGAGGATCCAAGAAAGAGAAGCCAATCCCAGTTGAGATCTCCACTCAAATGACAAGAACCAAATTAAATTTACCATGATTCTCATCAAAGGAGGCAGTGTGAAGGATCCCAGAGTATGAAGATCCGTCCTTGACCTGAACCTCGACGGGCAAACCCACCATGCAAATGGCAACGTAGAGAAGATACTCATCGTCTCTCAGATTCTTGGAAACCATGATCTTTCGCCTCTCTCTCTCTCTCTCTCTCTCTCTGATTTGACTTGGGTTTTTTTCCCTGATGGAATGATTTGGGAGTTTTTGTTTTCGTGTTCTTGTTCTGTGTTTTCGTATGTTTTTGAATGTTCTAGATCCTTCAATGGATGTATAAAAATTTAGAAATTTACTTAGGAAAATATAAAGCCTTAATCCCTTCAATTCTTTATAGTACTACTCATTTAGCACTTAAGTGACACTACAGGCACACCATGTGCCACACCCTCAGCCACACTCTCCTCTCTCTGCTATAGTAACCAGGACCCACATGAGATTTAA